TAGAAAACCTGAACAGACCTATAACCACTAAGGAAATTGAAGCAGTCATCAGAAATCTCCCAACAAACAACAGCCCAGGCCCAGATGGCTTCCCAGGGGAATTCTACCAAACATTTCAAGAAGAATTAATATCTATTTTTCTGAAGCTGTTTCAAAAATTAGAAGGAAAACATCCAAACTCTTTCTATGAGGCCAGCATTACCTTGATCCCAAAACCAAAGACCGCACCACAAAAGAGAATTACAGACCAATATCCCTGATGAACATGGATGCAAAAATTCTCACCAAAATACTAGCCAATAGGATCCAACAGTACATTAAAAGGATTATTCACCACAACCAAGTGGGATTTATTCCCACTTATTCCCATTTATTCCCACCAAGGGGGGTTCAACACCCGCAAATGAATCAGTGTGATATGTTACATAAATAAAAGAAAGGACAAGAACCATATGATCCTCTCAACAGATGCAGAAAAAGCATTTGACAAAGTACAGCATCCTTTCTTGATTAAAACTCTCCACAGTGTAGGGATAGAGGGTACATACCTCAATATCACAAAAGCCATATATGAAAACCCCACAGCGAATATCATTCTCAATGGGGAAAAACTGAGAGCATTTCCCCTAAGGTCAGGAACATGGCAGGGATGTCCACTATCACCACTGTTGTTCAAAATAGTACTGGAAGTCCTAGCCTCAGCAATAAGACAACAAAAAGAAAGAAAAGGCATCCAAATTGGCAAAGCAGAAGTCATACTCTCACTCTTCACAGATTACATGATACTCTACGTGGAAAACACAAAAGTCTCTACCCCAAAACTGCTAGAACTCATACAGGAATTTAGCAAAGTGGCAGGATATAAAACCCATGCACAGAAATCATTGCATTTCTATACACTAACAATGAGACAGAACAAAGAGAAATTAAGGAGTTGATCCCGCTTACAATTGCACCCAAAACCATAAGATACCTAGGAATAAACCTAACCAAAGAGGCAAAGGATCTGTACTCAGAAAACTATGGAAAACTCATGAGAGAAATTGAGGAAGACACAAAGAAATGGAAAAACATTCCATGCTCACGGATTGGAAGAATAAATATTGTGAAGATGTCAATGCTACCTAGAGCAATCTACACATTTAATGCAATTCCTATCAAAATACCATCCACTTTTCTCAAAGAAATGGAACAAATAATCCTAAAATTTGTATGGAACCAGAAAAGACCCCGCATAGCCAGAGGAATGTTGAAAAAGAAAAGCAAAGCTGGCGGCATCACAATTCCGGACTTCCAGCTCTATTACAAAGCTGTCATCATCAAGACAGCATGGTACTGGCACAAAAACAGACACATAGATCAATGGAACAGAATAGAGAGCCCAGAAATGGACCCTCAACTCTACGGTCAACTGATCTTCGTCAAAGCAGGAAGGAATGTCCAATGGCAAAAAGACAGTCTCTTCAACAAATGGTGTTGGGAAAACTGGACAGCCACATGCAGAAGAATGAAACTGGACCATTTCCTTACACCACACACAAAGATAAACTTGAAATGGAAGAAAGACCTCAATGTGAGATAGGAATCCATCAAAATCCTAGAGGAGAATACAGGCAGCAACCTCTTGCTAGACACGTCTCCAAAGGCAAGGGAAACAAAGGCAAAAATGAACTATTGGGACTTCATCAAGTGGAAAAACTTTTGCACAGCAAACGGAACAGTGGACAAAACCAAAAGACAACTGACAGAATGGGAGAATATATTTGCAAATGTTTTATCACATAGAGGGCTAGTATCCAAAATCTTTAAAGAACTTATCAAACTCAACACCCGAGGAACAAATAATTCAATCAAGAAATGGGCAGAAGACATGAACAGACATTTCTCCAAAGAAGACATCCAAAAGGCCAACAGACACATGAAAAAGTGCTCAACATCACTCGGCATCAGGGAAATCCAAATCAAAACCTCAGTGAGATACCACCTCACACCAGTCAGAATGGCTAAAATTAACAAGTCAGGAAACAACAGATGTTGGCGGGGATGTGGAGAAAGGGGAACCCTCCTACACTGTTGGTGGGAATGCAAGCTGGTGCAGCCACTCTGGAAGAGTATGGAGGTTCCTCAAAAAGTTGAAAATAGAGCTACCTTACAACCCAGCAACTGCACTACTGGGTATTTACCCCAAAGATACAAACATAGTGATCCGAAAGGGCACCTGCACCCCAATGTTTATAGCAGCAATGTCCACAATAGCCAAACTCTGGAAAGAGCCCAGATGTCCATTGACAGGTGAATGGATAAAGAAGATGTGGGGTGTGTGTGTGTGTGTGTGTGTGTGTGTGTAAAATGTAATATTATGCAGCCATAAAAAATGAAATCTTGCCATTTGCAATGACGTGGATGGAACTAGAGGTATTATGCTAAATGAAATAAGTCAGTCAGAGCAAGACAATTATCATATGATCTCACTGACATGTAGAATTTAAGAAATAAAACAGAGGATTATAGGGGAGGAGAGGAAAAATGAAACAAGATGAAACCAGAGAGGGAGACAAACCATAAGAGACTCTTAGTCATAGGAAACAAACTGAGGGTTGCTGGAGGGGAGAGGAGTGGGGGGATGGGGTAACTGGGTGATGGACATTAAGGAGGGCATGTGATGTAATGCTGGGTGTTATATAAGACTGATGAATCACTGACCTCTACTTCTGAAACCAATAATACATTATACATAATTATTTGAATTAAAAATTTAAAAATGTTAGGAAAGGAAGGGAGGGAGGGAGGGAGGAAGGAAGGAAGAAAGAGTGATAGATAAAAAGGCAACCCAAAAGACTTAGGTCTAAATCTAACCAAACATGTATAGGATCCATATGCTGAAAACTATAAAATGCTGATAAAAAATTTAAAAAGACCTACATAAATAGAGTGATTTAACATACACATGAATGGGAAGACTCAACATGGCATATCAATCTCCCCCAAACTGATCTATAGAATTAACATAATTCCAAAAATCTCGGTAGGACATTTTCACAGATACGGATAAAATGATTCTAAAATTTTTATGAAAGGGTAATGGAGCTAGGATAGCTCAAGTAATTTTTTATAAAGAAGAACAAAGGTGGATGAATCAGACTACCCAATTTTAATGCTTTCCCTAAAGCAACAACAATCAAGACAGTGTGGTGTTGGCAAAGGGACAAGACACACAGGTGAATGATCAGAATAGAGTCCAGGAATAGACCCAAATACATATGGTCAATTGATCTCTGAAAACTTGCAAAAGCAATCCAGTGGAGAAAGGACAGTCTTTTCAACAAATGGTAATGGGATGATTACTCATCATATGCAAAAAAATTGAACTGTGACGTACACCTGTGATGCTTCCAACTAACTCAAATTGGATCACATATAAATAGGAATAAAAGGATAAAATGTTTGCAAGAAAACAGAAAAATATATTCATGACCTGGCATCAAGCAGAGTTTGGAAATGACACCAAAAGCATAATCCATGAAATAATCCATAAAAGAAAAATATTGACAAGTTGGACCTCATCAAAATGAGAAACAGTTGCCCCACCAAAGACAGTGTCAGGAGAATGAAAACACAAGCTAAAGACTGGGAGAAATTTTTACAAACCACATATCCAACTTAGGACTTGTATCTGGGATATATAAAGAACTGTCAAAACTCAAAAATGAGAAAAAAAAACCTCAGTTAAAAAGTGGGCAAGAGATGCATCATAGATGATATAATGGCAGACATGCAAATGAGATGTTCAACATCAGTAGCCACCAGGGAAGTGCAAACTCAAACCACAGTGAGACCCTCCTGCACGCCTATAAGTGGCTAAAATCAGGGAGGACACTGACTGTTCAAGGGTGTCTGATACCTTGCTGTCAGAAATGCAAACGAGGGCAGCTTCTCATAACGTTAAACGTACACTCAGCATGTGATCCAGCAGTTCTACTTCTAGAGAAAGAAAACCTTATGTTCCGCATGCAAACCTATATAGGTTCAGTTGCTCTCTTCACCATCATCGAAAACCGAAGGCACAGATTTGCGTGAAATGGCAAACTTCTGCAGCAAGTGTCGACTCTCCAGATGATGACCCTTTCATGTCTGACTGTATCAGAAAGGCGACTGCCACCAAAACCTCTGAACAGGGCAGAGCACCCCGCCCCCCGCCCTGGCCTGGACATAATAAGCACTTTATGCACAGAGAGCTGACCTGCACTGGACCAAGTCTTCATCCCAACTGCTCCCTCACAGGCTGACTTCGCGTTTGGTTTGTTAACATCTTATCCCCTTGTATCTTGTTTGTTGTGTGATTTTTTCTTTAATGTACTCTGGTTTGTGTGAGGTATATGAAGCCAAATAAAATGTGTAGTGCAATGTCACTGAGTTTGGAATCCTAAGCCTGCTTTTATCTTGCTTTACAACTGAATAAAGCTGATGTTTTGGGAAAGCACAGCCCGCGTGTGCTCCTTAGCGTGCTCATGACAACATACACAGATAGGTACGTGCATGTATCTTTTGCCGCTTCTGCCCTCTAGAGAACCCCGACTAATATCCTAACAGGGAAGTAAAATACTGTCATCCACCCACCACAGGGACTAGCAGGTTCTTTTTCTAACAGTATTTTCATTGGCACACGGAGCTCTAAACCAAAGTGAGTTCTCCCTCCAAGCCAACAGATGAGTGGCGCGGACGTTACCCACATTCCCGCCAAACCTTTGGTACCAAACACTGAACCAGATTCACTGAAGTTGTGCAGATCCGAGGGCTGTGTGGAGTAGAATGATAAGCTAGTTAACACGTGCAGGCTCAGGACAGGGTGAAGCAGAGAACGGTGTGTGGGGTGTGGTATTTTCCCATTACACTATCTTATGCTCTCACAAGTACTTGACATTATATACAAAAAAACCTAACCCCCCCCCCAAATGAAATGTTTTAGATTATAACTTTTAAAGAATTTAAAGAATTTTAGGTAAGTTTTTCTTTTGCTTTTATTACAAGCATATAATATTAATTGGCAAAACACTGAGTACAAGCTTCACTATCATAAAATCAAAACATTTAAGCAATATTCCAAGAAAGATTTTAGACAAAAACTAGCCACCAATAGTACAAAAATTACACACCAACACAAAGCATAAAAAATGTAAACTTTCAAATTAAACAGTCAAAAATATGTATCTGCGTTGTCATCTCAATAAACCGCGACACGGGTGATGATCAGGCTAATGGCGGCTCACACCCCTGGACCCTACATCATTTGAGGAAAAATGGTTTTCTTAGACCCAATTAAGTCGTCAGAACAGACATTTACACTAACGCTACACACATTTTAGGGGACACTCAAACTTCAGTCCATCCTTCAGACACGCTCCCGGACGTGGTGAACCACGCGATGCAGGCGGGGGTGGGGGTGGTTGCCCGGGCAGAGCCTCCTTGGTGGGCTGGCGGCTGGCAGGGGCAGAATCCTCGTGAAGATTATGGCTAGTGTGAATAACGGTTTTCTAATCTACTCAGCCCAATTACCCAGTTTGTTTAAATACCAAGGCAAACGAACACACGGGCTCATCAGGCTGGGGTCCCACGTGATGTGGTGGACTGTGAATGATTTCCTGAGGAAACAGAGAAACTGGATTTGTTCTGATTTAGCTATCTGCGCTGTTTACTTTCAACGTCTTGAGAACGTATCTAATATTCACGTATGAAGTGGAAATCAGCTGGCTCGTTCCTAGAACATTCAATCCAGTAACACATTTCAAATTGCTGTAAAATGCCCTCCTGTGTGCTCTGAGGAGAAAATGAAATGGGTTTCTCAAGATCTCACCACAAGGAGTCATCAGATCCGCACGCCCGAGAGGGCCCGCCGCCGGTGGGATGGGGGGGCAGTGTAGGGCCGTCCCAGGCGTGGTCGACACACGGTGGTGCATCCAGGGCTGTGAGCGCGCAGGGTCTGCAACAGGAGACCCAGGGCGGCCACACACCACTTCACTTCACGGCTGCCTGCCCGGTCACGCACCCTAAAATATTCTCGCGCAGGGCACACGCACACGCACACGCACACACACACATCCCCAAACAGCATTCTTATAACAACAGGGAAAAGAGAAAACCAAATAGCTGAATGTACATATTTTGAAATTCCACCAACATTCCCTTTCGATTTAGCAGAAGAGATGCGACATTACAATTTAAACAGATGTCTAATAAATGCATCTTGGAACCTATTGCACAAAAGCATAAACAATGCTCTTCATCTATATAAAACAAAAACGTACAAATTAAAAGCTACTCAAAGTAAAGAGAAGAAGCTTGCAAAACATGTCACAATTTCATTTTATATGCCTGTAAATAAAGCTGGACCACGGAAACCAAACAATTGGATGGGAAAATATGATAGAAGGCTTAAAATAGAATAAATAATTTTATAAAGTTAAGTTTTCTTTTTTTTAACCCCCCAAATCTTAAATTCAATATTATATATTCTATCTGAATTTTCTATCTTCATGAAAACTGCATTTAGTGAGACCGCGTGCTGGGCAGCAGGTCCCACCACGGTGACGGTGATGCAGGAAGGTAACTGAACAGGACTTGTGTTACCAGCGTAAACAGTCGTGAAAACCACGTCACAGGAACTCCGTCTGTTAAGAAAGAAACTGATCCTGGCTTTCATGCTGGAAAAAATGAAACTCAGCCTTTTGAAGTGAAATGAAAGCGTGCCAGTGGGGAAGGGACCAGGGAAGCTGCCCTGGGACACAGGCTCTGGGCTCCTGTCAGCCGAGGGGCAGGGGGTCCCCGGGGCCGTCCTGCAGTGAAGACAGTCTGCATGAGGAATCTTAGAAAAATAGGTACGTCTGCTGCTGAGGTTTTGTCAGGTTAACACGATTACAAAAGGGGGTCACAGGTGGGTCAGCAGCCAGCCGGTGGTGTTAGCCAGGCTCCGACTATCTCCACCTCTCTGTGTATCGAAACGCGTCCACTTAGCACCATAACAAATTCAAGTGATTTCAAAGATAGCTACAAAGTTACAAATATATATTATGAGATTATTACAGCGATACTCAGTCTAATCTGAACTGTGAGCTGATTTTGTTTGAATTTGGATGCTTACACTGCTGAACCCTCCCCTCCTCCACCACCCCGGAAGATACCCAAGTTCCAACGCTACACCTAAAACCGCACTGCACCTGCAGTTGCAGACCACAGCAGCAGTAATGTGTATGCTGAGGTAGACAGGTAATATTTACTCATACACATCTACTCATTAAACCTGTGGAGTAACTCTAAGACATGATTTGGATGAATAGCAAGCTTAGCGACCCGAACACGGCAAACAGCACTGGGAGTTAAGGGGCTTCAGTGAGGGGTGAATGTTGACCAATTCCTAACAGAACTTGTTTTTAGGTTTCTAAAAGGCCTTACGTTAGAGTCACTCGGATTCAATTAATCTGAATGGTTTTCTTGTCACCAAGATTAGGTCTTACGTATATGGAAGAGGAAGCAGAAGAAACCCAACCATAACTTTCAAAGCAAGCGTGAGAAGAAATCCTAGTCAGGACGGTGACATACTCCATGAACAAAGGAGGTGGGCTGGCGGCCACCTGGGGGGGTGACTGAGGAGGGGGAGGAACCCAGAGCTCACGGACAAACGGACGGTGCGGATGGAGAGGACAAGGACGGACACAGAACCCCAGGACAACACTTTCACGGCCCCGGAGAACGGCTGCTTTCTCCTCCTGCCTTTACACATTCCGAGTTACTCTTTTAAAGGGACAAATACTTATGTGCTGGCAGAGTTTATTCACTAATTCCACAAAAATATTAACACGTGGGAGGAGAAAGGGGTGAACAGAGAGTGTGCTGCCTGCGACTGGCGTTTCAGGTCATGAAGGAACTGAAAATGCAACCAGCAGGCTCCTCTGCTCCCGGCAGGGTGCGCCTCCCCCTGACAGCAGCCTCAGGCGTGGGCGGCAGACGCAGGGCAGAGCTGCCCACGGGAGGGCGTGGGCAGCCGTGCTGGGAACCGCAGTCTGCACGCCCGGGGCACCTGCCCTCCTCCGACCCTCGGTGCCTTCTCAGGAAAACCCCCAGACAATGCCACCCCCTCTCTTCAGCACGATGAACGTGGGAAAGAATTAAGTAGGGAATTTAAGTGGCAGCCCTGAACCATCAGAGCCCTATTTCATACCAGTAATGTTTAGGAACATGAATGGCTCTGCAAGCCAGCATTAAGCCGGCCAAGCCATCTCTGGTCTACCCTGCGGAGCCCCGGGCCGTGTCTGGGGAGCAGCGGGGGGGTGGAGCCCCTCCCTCGCCTCAGGGCCACTCGCCCCAGTGCAGCCTCGGGGCCCAGAGTAGGGGCCAGGCAGGGGCCGAGGCAGGGGAGCTGCCGGCTTTTCATGGTTCCCAACGTGGAAAAGTAAATACTGTGGCTAACTCATAGTATTAATGGAATGCTTTTAAATTAACCCTTTATATACCTTCTAAGTCTTCAGGAAGCTAAAGGCAACATAAATATTGTCATTCACCATGAAGAGATATTTTTCAATAACTTAGGAAGGGTCCAGTAAACGTACAAGTATTTTTGAGGCTTATCGTGAACCCTAATTCAGAAACGAAACGGAAAGGACCAGATCTTCAAGGCCTGGAGAGCAAGCACAGGCCGTGTGGCCACTCTGTTTACCATCTGGTCTGTGAGGGGCGCCCTTCGGCCGCTGAGACTCTGAAGTGTCTCGTCGTCTTGTAACCGTGGTGCTGGTAGTGTCTTGCTGAGTGTGAATTCTCTCATACAAAAGTTATAAATACTCTCTATTCAGAAATCTGGTCCCCACGACACCGCAGGTGACTCGGCGGGGCAGCGGGGCCCGGCCCGGGGCCGAGCTCAGAGCAGGTCCATCTTGGGTCTGTAGTGCAGCAGGAGTGGGGCCTTCTGTAAGACAAAGGCAGAGCACGGCGCCCGTCAGGACCGCCGGCCGAGCGGACAGCCGCCCTCCCTGGGGCCCGGGTGCCCCGGGGCCTGCGCACACCTGCTGCCCCACCCGGTCCCGTCGGCTTTCACCCCCTTCTCCGGGCTGCCGCGCAAGCACTCGGGGACTCGGGGTCCTGCCATCTGCGTCCTGCAAGGCGGGGGTCACCTTGGCCAGGAAGGGCAGTGCTCACCCAAGGGCCCCGTGTGGCTGGGGCACTGATCATTGCAGAATGACTGCCCTTCTCACCAGGCCCGTGACAGGTACTTCTAAGCTCTCGGTTGAAAATATGCACAGACAAGTAGTTGCCATTTGTAACCGACTCTGACAATCAAACAATCCAACCTTCACAAAGTCTTACCTTGAATCTCCACCTCGTGACAACCACAAATTTGAGCGTGTGGTCCTTGCCCAGGATTTCCTCGTTGCATAAAATGTCCAGCTGGCGGGAGAAGGAGGGTTCCGTCAGGGCGCCAAGGGCATGGCACTCGGCACCCCTGGCCTCCGGGCTGTGCCAGCTACGTCAGTCGCCCGTGGTGACGTGTCCCGTTTCCAGGCGGCCCAGGTGGGGAGTGCTCGGAAGGCCCCGGCCCAACCCACCTGAGGCCTGAGGGGTCCACACCCACCATGCCCCGCCCCCCCAGGGCCCTCGGTCACCACACTGCAACCGTCTCCCCACCTCAGTCCACTCTTGGCCAAGTTTGTCCCTCTTACCTCGGTGGAAAAAGGAAATGGGTTCTTCAGATGGTCTTTTTCCTCTCTTTTTTAAAAAGACTACTTTTCGGGCAGTTTGAGGGCGAGAGCAACACTGAGAGGGGGGTTCAGAGAGAGATCTCCCGTGCGCCCCCGTCCCCCCACTACCCACATCTGCACCGGGATGGGACATCTGTTACGGCGGACGGGCCTCCACGGACACGTCATCCTCACCGAGTCCACAGATGGCCGCAGGGCCCCCCCTGGTGGCGCACATTCTGTGGGTCTGGACACGGGCATCAGGACAGGTGCCCACCACCGCAGCACCACCCAGAGTTGCTCCCCGGCCCCCACATCCCCCGTGCTCCCCCTCCTGCCCCCAACCCCTGACAACCGCCCATCCTGGTGCTGTCCCCGTGGTTCTGCCTTTTCCGGGATGTCCCACGGCTGGAATCCTATTGCGTCCTTCCCTCAGTAATGTGCATTTAAGGGTCCTCCTGTCTTTTCACGGCTTGGGCGCTCGTTTCTCGTGAGCATGAGTGATAGTCCATTGTCTGGGTGCAGCATGGTTAATTTACCCACTCACACACCGAAGGACGTCTTGGTTGTTTCCAGGTTTTGGCGACTATGAATGAAGCTGCTATAGACATCGTGTGCGGTTTTGGTGTGGACGTAAGGTTTCAGTTAATGCGGGTGAACACCACGGAGCAGGACTGCTGGACCGCATGGTGAGACTATATTTAGTTTTGGAAGAAACTGCCAAGTTGTCTCCCACCAGCTGTGGACGGGAGTTCCTGTTGCTCCGCATCCTCACCAGCATGTGGTGGTCAGAGGTCTGGATTTTGGCCGTTCTGGAGTGGTATCGCATTGTTTAATCCTTTTCCCTGATGACAAATGATGTTGACTCAGATGGTCTTTTAAGCTTCTCCCTCAGGACAAGGGGAAGAGACCCCTGCGTCTGTAGGAGGGCTGGGCAGCGGGGCACGCAAGGGGCCGCGTGGGGCTGGTTCCAAGAAGACTGCCGGGCACCGAGCCCCCCCTCCCCAGGCAGGCCCCTCACCCTCACCCACGCCGACCCTCTGGATGACCTCACCTTGACCCTGGGCTCCAAATGGCAGCGCACGCCACGGACCCCAACCTTGACTTGGGGCCCTGACCTCAGTTCACCTTCCACTATGCACAGGCAGTGGCCACGGGAGCCTGTCCCCAGAGGCTGTCCACCCAGTGCGCAGCCCCGAGCCCTGCTCCCCTAGCAGCCCCACCAAACACACCAGCGGCCCCGAAACCACACCCTCAACTTAAGCCATCAGAGTCCCGCCTGAAAGCCCGGAGGCCCATCCCCTGGCCTCTTCTGTCCTCACAGCTTTCCACTAGTTCTGCGTCTCAGACCTCCTTCTGCCTCTCTTCGTGTGTATCAACAGTTCATTTCTTTCTGTTTTTGTTTTTTTTAAATGTGGTAAAATACACATAAAATGTACCATTCTAACCATTTTAAGCCGGCAATTCAATGGCATCAGGCACATTCACACTGTTGGGAACAGCTCCACCCTCCACCTCCAGAACTTGTTCATCTTCCCAAACAGTCCCCAAGAAACACCAGCTCCCCATCTCTCCCCGTCCCCAGCCCCCCGACACCCACCATCCCCTTTCTGTCTCTATGATCTGACTCCTCTGGGGACTCACGGAAGTGGGACCATCCAGTGTTGCCCCTTTGTGGCTGGCTCATGTCACTGAGCCCAGTGTCCTCAGGGTTCACCCAGGTGGTGGCAGGTATCAGCACGTCCTCCCTGTTTAAGGCTGAATAACACTCCATCGTGTGGATTGTTGTCCGTTTTGTTCATCTGTCCAACCGTCCGTCCATCCATCCATCCATCCTTCTATCTGTCCATCTGTCTTTCCATCCATCCATCCGTCAATCCATCCACTCGTCCATCCGTTTTTCCTTCTGTCCGTCTGTCCATCCATCCATCCATCCATCCACTCGTCCATCCGTTCATCCATCTTTCCATCTGTCCGTCCATCTTTCCATCTGTCCATCCGTCCATCCATCCATCCATCCTTCTATCTGTCCATCTGTCTTTCCATCCATCCGTTCATCCATCTTTCCATCCGTTCATCCATCTTTCCATCTGTCCGTCCATCCACCTATCCGTCCATCCATCTATCGTCTGTCCATCCTTCTGTCTGTCCATCTGTCCATCCATCTATCCATCATCTATCCGTCCATCCATCCTTCCATCTGTCCATACATCTGTCGTCTGTCCATCTTTCCGTCCATCTATTGTCTGTCCATCCATCTTTCCGTCCATCTATTGTCTGTCCATCCATCTATCCGTCTGTCCATTCATCCATCTGTCCATCATCTATCTGTCCATCCATCCTTTCATCTGTCCGTCCACTCATCTGTCCATCTATCTGTCGTCTGTCCATCCATCTTTCCTTCTGTCCGTCCATCCATCCATCCGTCCATCTGTCCACCCGTCCATGGGCACTGGGGTGCTTCCCTGTCCCAGCTGCTGTGCATAATGCTGCCATGAACACGGGGGTGCCGGCATCTCATTGAGACCCTGCTCTCCGTTCTCCGGGGAACACACCCAGACGTGGAATGGCTGGGCCATGGGCTCATTCTGTGCTTAGTGTTTTGAGGACCCTCCACAGTGTTTTCCACGGCGGCTGCACCATTTTACACCCCATCGCCCGCCCCCCGCCCCCGCACAGGTTTTGTTTCCCCACGTCCTCACCATCTTTTGTTTTCTTGTTATTTACTCAGTTTTTAATAGTAGCCATCCTAATAGGTATGAGGTGGTTCTCACTGTAGTTTTGATTTGCATTTCCCTAACAACAGTGACACTGAGCATCCTTTCATGCCTATTGGCTGTATGTGTCTTCTTTGGAGAAATGTCTAAGCCCTTTGCCCATTTTTAAATCAGGTTGTTTGGTTTCTTTTATGCTGTTTTAGAAGTTCTCTATATATTCTGGATAGTAATCCCTTATCAGATGTATGGCTTGCAAATAATTTCTCACATTCTATACAAAATTTTTTCATTCAGAATGTCCAATTTGTCTATTTTTTTTTTATTTTGTTGACTGTGACTTTGCTGCCCTATCCAAGAAATCACTGCCAAACCCAGTGTCATGAAACTTTTGTCCTATGTTTTCTTCTAAGAACTTTACTGTTTTAGGTCTGACATTTAGGTCTTTGATCTAATCTAAGTTAATTTCTGCATATGGTGTGAGGTAGGAATCTGATGTCAATCTTTTGCATGGGGATGTGCAGTTGAAAAGACTATTCTTGGGGCGCCTGGGTGGCTCAGTCGTTAAGCGTCTGCCTTCGGCTCAGGTCGTGATCCTGGGGTCCTGGGATTGAGCCCCGCGTCGGGCTCCCTGCTCTGCAGGAAGCCTGCTTCTCCCTCTTCCACTCCCCCTGCTTTTGTTCCCTCTCTCACTGGGTCTCTCTCTGTCAAATAAATAAATAAAACCTTAAAAAAAAAAAAAAAAAGAAAAGACTATTCTTTCCCCATTAAGTGGCCTTGGCACCTTTGTTGAACATCAAGGGCCACATATATGAGGGTTCATTTCTGGGCTCTCTATTCAACTCCATTGATCTCGATGTCTGTCTTTATGCCAATATCACACTTTTTTTTATTAGTGTAGCTTTATAGTAAAAGGTTTGAAATTAGGAAGTGAGGGTCCTCCAGTTTTGTTCTTTTTCAAGATTGTTTTGGCTACTCAGGGTCCTGTGAGATTTCATAAAATTTAGGATGGGTTTTTAAATTTCTGCAAAAAACATCATGGGGATTTTGATAGGGATTGCTTTGACTATAGACAGCTTAGGTAGTATTAACATTTAGCAACATTAAGTCTTCCAATCCATCCACTTGGGATGTGTTCCCATTTATTTGTGCCTTCTTTAATTCCTTCCAGCCATTTTTGTAGTTTTCATTGTGCAAGTCTTTCACTTTCTTGGTACAGTTAATTCCTAAGTATTTTATTCTTTTTGATGCAATTGTAAATTGAATTTTTTTTTGTAATTTCCTTTTCCGATTATTCATTGCTAATGTACAGAAATGCAGCTGATTTTTGTGTTGGTTTTGTGTCCTGCTACCTTGCTGAATTTATTTTTTTAGTTCTAACGTGTGTGTGTGTGTAATCTTTGGGATTTTCTACATGTAAGATCATATCATCTGCAAACAGAGATAAATTTTAATTCTTCCTTTCCAATTTGGATGTGTTTTATTTATTTTTCTCCCCTAATTCTCTGGCTAGAACATCCAGTACCATGTTGGATAGAAGTGGTGAAAGCAAGCAACCTTGCCTTGTTCCTGATCTTAGAGGAAATGCTTTCAGTCTTTCACCAATGAGTCTGATACTTGTAGTGGGTTTTCATATATGGCTTTTATTTTATTTTCATGTATCTTCTATTCCTAGTTTGTTGTGTTTTTTTTTTTTTAAATTATGAAAGGGTATTGAATTTTGTCAAATGCTTTGCAGACCTACATCAGGTTGAGATGATCATGTGGTTTCCCTCTCTATTCTGTTGGTGTGACATATTACATCAATCAATTTTTGTATGTGGAACCACACTTCCATTTCAGAAATACCCACTTGGTTGTGGTATATAATCCTTTTAATATGCTGCTGAATTCTGTTTGCTAGTATTTCGTTGAGGATTTTTGCATCCGTGTTCATCATGGATGTTGGTCTATGGTTTTCTTTTCTTACAGTCTCTGTCTGACTTTGGTATCAGGGTAAGGCTGGCCCCATAGAATGAGTTGGGAAGTTTCTCTCCCCTTCAATTTTTGGGAAAAGTTTGGGAAGGACTGGTGTTAATTCTTCTTTAAATATTTGGTAGAATTCACCTGTGAAGCCGTCGGGTCCAGGGCTTTGCTCTGTTGGGACATTTTTGATTACTGATTCAGTCTCCTTACTAGTCGTAGGTCTAGTCAGACTTTCTGTGTCTCCGTGATGTAGTCTTGGTAGGTTCTGTGTTTCCAGGAATTTGTCCACTTATCTAAGTTATGACAATCCCTTTTATTTCTGTAGAATCAGTAACAATGCCTCTGCTTTCATTTTAGATTTTAGTAATTTGCCTTTTTCCTTAATCCATTGGTCAAATTTTTGGTTGTCAAATTTTATGGTTTTTTAAAAAATATGGTTTTTAAAGATTTTATTTATTTATCTGAGAGAGAGTGAGAACATGCACGGGTGGGGGTGGGGCGAGGGACAAGCAGACTGAGCTGAGCTTAGAGCCCGACCCGTGGCTCGGTTCCATGACCCTGAGATCACATCCCATGCCGAAATAAAGAGTTGGAGGCTTAACCAACTGAGCCACCCAGGCGCCCCTGTCAATTTTGTTGACCTTTTCAAAGAACTGCTGAATTTCTCTCTCGTTTTTCTGTTTTCTATTCCACTTATCTCTGCTTTAATCTTTATTATTTACTTCTTCTGCTAGCTTTGTTCTTTTTCTAGTTTTTCAAGTTGTAAATTTAGGTTGCTGATGAGATCTTTCTTGTTTTTAATGTAAGTATTTATAGCATAAATTTCCTCCTTTGCACAGCTTTTGCTGTATCCCACAGGTTTTGGTAAGTTGTATTTTCATTTGTCTCGAAGTACTTTCCAATTTCTCTTGGATCCATTAGTTGTTTAACTGTTGTTTAGGGGTGCCTGGGTGGCTCAGTGGGTTAAGTGTCTGCCTTTGGCTCAGGTCATGATCCCAGGGTCCTGGGATCGAGTCCCACATCGGGCTCCCTGCTCAGCGGGGTGCCTGCTTCTCCCTCTCCTTCTGCTGCTCCCCCTGCTTGTGTTCTCTCTCTCTCAAATAAATAAATAAAATCTTTTTTAAAGAGTATGTTATTTAATTTCCACAGTTTTGTGAACTTTCCAGTTTTCCTTTTGTTATTGATTTCTAACTTCATGCTGCTGTAGTCAGAGAAGACACTTTGTAAGATATCTATCTTTTAAAATCTACTGAGGCAATTTGTGTCTGCCCTCCTCTTATAAGGACTTTGTCACTGAATTTAGGGCCCAGCTGGATGATCCAGGATGATCTCTTCATTTCAAGATTCTTGACACATTGACAAAGACCTTTTTTCTAATAAAGTCACATTCACATGTTCTGGGGGTTAGGAAATGGACACATCTTTTGGTGGGGGTCACCACTTAACCCACTATGGTCTACCTTCTGGTCCCTCAAATCCACATCTGTCCCACCTGCAAAATATATTCACCTCATCCCAACATCTTAGCATAAGCATTGCCACCTCAGGAAGGCTCCCCAGCGACGTCTGAGCCGAGATACTCACCCCGGTTTCCGTCCACCAACCCCGTGTGCATACCAGGGCTGCTGGCTTTCATTTAATTCCCATCATTTACCACAAAGTACCTGAAAGTATCTCACCTATCTACCTGCCCACCTATTTCACCCCCTACCCAGCCCAGCCAATCATCCATCCATTTGTGAAATTAAAGAACAGAGTTTCTCTTCGCGAGGAAAGCCTGTTCTATATCTCAGCCTCCCTGCCACCGCACCAGCTTCCCCTCCTGTTAAGGGGGCTTCCCGTGCTCACATCTGGCCCTCCCTCCACTCTCTTCTCCACCACGTCCCATCACGCTATCTGGGAGCATGCAAACCAAACCGAGATTCTTTTTCCTTCTGATGTGAAATCTCCAAACAAAGATGTAAAAACAAAAAACCCAAAGAACCTTAGAAGTATCACTTTCGCAAATGAGAAATGACGTGTTACAGTTTCCATTTGCGGTACAACTATTACCTCATTGAAAGACGAAAGGTTAAGTTTTTTGGCGATGAACTTCTTCAGGTGCAGCACTGTTGCCTGGGCCGAGCAGCGGATCCACTTGCGTTTCAAGCCCCGCAGTTTGCTGCTGTTGCATTCCAGGCAGATGCTCACCTGTAAGAGACAGGCACGGCTGGCAGCCAGCAGGGGCCGCGGCGCGGCGCTCTGAGGCTCTCAGGCCTGCTCAGTCCGGGAAACGCCACAGTGCTGACCTGGTGAAATCAGAGTCCGTTCTGACTTCAACACTGTGGAAAAGGGTTTTACTTTGATCATTTTATGCACGTTATCCTAAATCCGTCCACCATTCTGTGAAATATAACCTAATAGTGTTAATCCTGTCTTATCAACATAGTACTTCAAAGTAAACCTGGAATGATTTACTCGTTGTACACACGGCACTGGTCTCGGAGGGAAATGGACGCAGACTGCCGCCCCCACAGGCTGTGCTGAGTGCTCTGCGGGCATGATGAGGAAGGACACACAGCCCGCAGAGGCGGTGCCCCCGGCTCTGCATGAATGCACCGAGGAAGGCCTCATGAAGGAAGCAGCAGGATACCTGGCCTTGGAACAGGACGGCAAAGGCACTAGAGAAGAAAGGACCCTGGGCTCAGGAGAAAACCATAAGCAAAGGCACAAAGTTTGAAAGTTCAGTTACCTCTTGGACAACCAACAATTCATTGGGGTCACAGAACACGGTGTGTGACAAGGAACCTCAACATAACTAACTAAAAGCGAATTTGGGACCAGGGGGTCCCTGGCAGATGCAAAAGGAAGGACCTGCTCGACACAGCACTCAAGATCGAATAATTCTCCAGTAGCAGCGACAAAAAATGGCACAATCAAACCCCACAAAATTCTGATAAAAGAATTAACAAAGGAGGGATGCCTGGGTGGCTTAGTCGGTTGGGTGGCCGACTCTTGATTTCAGCTCAGGTCATGATCTCAGGGTCATGAGACTGAGCCCTGCGTCGGGCTCTGTCCTGAGCATGGAGTCTACTTGAGATTCTCCCTCTCCCTCTGCCCCTTCCCACTGCCTGCACGTTCTCTCTCTCCAAAAAAAAAAAAAAAAAAAAATAGAGGAATTAACTGAAATATGTAGGTCTAAAATTACTAGAGATAAAAAGAAGGAATTAAAGGGGCGCCTGGGTGGCTCAGTTGGTTAAGCGACTGCCTTCGGCTCAGGTCATGATCCTGGAGTCCCAGGATCGAGTCCCGCATCGGGCTCCCTGCTCGGCGGGGGGTCTGCTTCTCCCTCTGACCCTCCCCCCTCTCATGCTCTCTCTATCTCATTCTCTCTCTCAAATAAATAAATAAAAAATCTTAAAAAAAAAAAAGAAGGAATTAAAAACAAAATACACTATGAATAAAAAACAGGCAGGTATAAAAGATAACCAAATACAATTTGTAAAAACTCAGTGGGTGGCTGAACCACAGATTAGTCTCAGCACAAGACAGACCAGTTTCATGAAAGATCAACTTGAGGAAATTACCTAAAAGAAGTACAGACAGCAAGATAGCAATTAAAATAACAAAACAAAGAAAAGGTAAAGGGGTAACAGACTGAGGAGTCTAACACACATGTAACAGAAATTCTGGAGGAAGAAGGGAGAACAAGGGAAAGGTAAATTTAAGAAATAAATAACGACTAAGGATCAAAATGATGGAGGACTTAAACTCTCAAATTTAGGAAGCAAAAGAAATAAAGGAAACCTACACCACACAGATGTGGGGGAGGCACCAGGAGGGAGCAGCAGGTAGTCCTCCCGATGAGGCCGCTGTGCCTGCAAAGCTCAGAAGAAGGTGAGCAGAGAAGTCACCACTCAAGGGCGCAGATGAAATGAACCGTCTGTAAGCAAAACAGAAACTGACGAGGAGAGGGGACCCCCGTAGGCAGGTGAGCTCGGGGGCAGGACGCCAGTTCCATCTAGATCGCTCAGGGAGTGTGGCAGGTTGGTTTCTTTTTTTTTTTTTTTTAAAGATTTTATTTATTTGACAGAGAGAGATACAGCGAGAGCAGGAACACAAGCGGGGGAGTGGGAGAGGGAGAAGCAGGCTTCCCGCCGAGCAGGGAGCCCGATGCGGGGCTCGATCCCAGGACCCTGGATCATGACCTGAGCCGAAGGCAGACGCTTAACGACTGAGCCACCCAGGCGCCCCTGGTTTCTAATTTTTATTTGGAAGAGCAAAGGGGCATGATTAGTCAAGACGATTTTGAAGAAGAAAAGTAAGGGGGTCTATGCCCCATCAGAAACCACAGCTTAACAGGTAAAATAATGAAATAATTGTAACTCGGTAAGTTCCTTGTGGTTTTGGCACAAGGGAGACAACAGCAGTGGAACAGAACAGAACCGACCCAAGCATGGGTAGAAACCTGCACGTGGTACGATTCTAATCAGCCAGGTGAGGAGGGCCTATTAGCCGATGCTGAGGAGCCAACTGGCCAACCTGGGAGGGAGCGACTCGACCTCCCCTCCAGCTGCACACAAATCACCTGCTGGTGGCTTATAACCTCCCTGTAAAAAGCAAAACTTTAAGATACTTTACAAGAAAACATAGGAGAACATACTTACGACCTTGCGGTGGGGAAATTTCCTGAAATACGAAGGAGAGCCTCGAGGCCGTGCACGGCGAGGGAATGTCAGACCACCCAGTACACAAAGTCCATGACAGAATAAGTAATTTGGTAAAGAGCGGAGGCACCAAGAGAACTGAAACACTTGGGAAGACGCTCAACACCAGTGGAAAAGGCCCCCATTACGGCTCTGTGGACTGTACGCACACGAAGACAGGAATGAGGACGACGACGAGGCATCACGTCTGGGCACAGCGAGTCCTGCTGGGGAGCCATGCCAGTCAGCCCCTCAAGTGTCTGAGCACCTGAGTGACCAGGACGCCAGACAGAAAGGTCAGTGAGCAATGACACGGTGCCGTCCTGCCTGTGCACACGGCAACACTACGTGGTGACATTACGCATCCCCAGACTCTCAGAAACATAACCGTGACTGAAAAAGGTCAGTTGTAGACAGACATATGCTCTGTTTCCTACGGTTTATGGCTACACACACATGTCAACATAAGTCCAGCAATCCAGCCTAGCACACAGTTCTCTGTTCACGGGGTGTAAGAGCCCCGAGCCCTGTGTCCTCCCCAGGTCCCCAGTGTGTCCCACAGGCTCACTTTCACGCATGTCCCAAGCCAAACTCTGGCCACCCCATGCCACCCCCTGCCCGAGCCACAGAGGCTGCCTGGTTGCCTTCCCACCTGGGGAGCCCTGGCCTCCCCGAGCTGAGCCTTCTGCCCCGGAGGCGGGCCGCACCCCCTCCGCCGCAGGGCTCCACACTCACTGCCCCCTCCCTCCTCGGCAGGCCCTGCTGCGAGGCCCTGCTCCAGCCCACCCTCCTCCCTCTTGATACACCTGGAGCTCCCTGACCCGCACATCTTCCCTTGCAGATGGCCGCCTGCTCACAGCTCGGAGGGGGTCGGGGCCCAGACAGGGTGGGTGCTTGGGGTTTGCGGGATGCTGCCAACCCCCCACCCCACTGTCCCACGGGGCTGAGGCTGCACCCCCAGCCACCAGCACCGCACAGGCACATGCCGCATCCCACATCCCACAAACCTGGGAGGGCAGGCATCGACAGACTGGGCCTGGCTCCTCCTCCCTGGGGCCTGGACACCACGCCCAGCTGTCCTGGGCTCAGCACGAGCTTCCCAAGTGAGCAGCGAGTGGGGATGTGGCCACGCTGCCCGACAGTTCAAAGCTCTCACTAGCCCTCCTGTGGCTGTTCGTGCAGGGACCCCCATGGGTCAAGGGCACCTCTGGGAACACTGGACAGCCCATTTGCTCAAAAGCCGGCAGAATGTGGGCCTTATAGGAGGGTCAAATTGTTCTTAAAAGTAAGTGTATATGCTAATTTTCTTATGTTTGCTTTAGTGACTCAGCAGTGCTCCAGAATCTGCCCTTTACTCCAGGCCCACCTGGCAGCAGTCCAGGGTGGGCGCGCTCATGTCCCACGGGCAGAGAGAAAGCTGCTCTGGACAAGGGTGGGACCAGGGCCCGGGGCAGTGGGAGCAGCGGGAGGGCAGGGTGCTGAGCCATCAGGGTGTCTGAGCAACACTTCCAGCTGACTGAAACGTCACAGTGCTCCATGAGGAATAAATTCAGAATAGTGCCAGACACTCCAATTCTCTGCTGAACAAAGACCAAGGGCTGCAGCCCAGCCACGGCTCAAGAGCAGTAAACCCTGACAAGCATCGAGCGTCAGCGTCTGGGCCTGAGGACTCCGGCCTGCTGGCAGACTCGGATTTGGGGGCTCAGACTTCTCTTAGCTGTTTTTCTTTTTCTTCTGCTGATGCTTGGTGTGAAAAGTGCACAATTCAGTCTAGTCATCTGAGTGACAGAAGAAGGAAGGGTTTGTCTTCAAAGTTACTCCGAATTTAGAATTCGATACCCAACCACGTTATCATGCAGACATGCACGGGAAACATGGAGGGACTCAAAGTCCATGACACACACACCCTCTCTGAAAAGAAATGAAGAGGGATGCCTGCCCCTCCAGAGGAAACAGACTCCACAAAAGGGGAAGATGGGATAAACCAGCAGTATAAGCAAAAAGCCCACAGAAACCCATACTACCTTTTGTTAAATCTAAATAATTATTGGGGCGCCTGGTGGCTCAGTTGGTTGGGTGTCCGACTCTTGGTTTCAGCTCAGGTCCTGATCTCGTGGGTTGTGAGATACCAGAGTCTGCTTGAGATTCTCCCTGTCCTTCTGGCCCTCCCTCCACCCCTGCATGCACACTCTCTCTCAAATAAATAAATAAATCTTTTTAATTTATTTATTTGACAGAGACACAGCAAGAGAGGGAACATAAGCAGGGGGAGTGGGAGAGGGAGAAGCAGGCTTCCCGCCGAGCAGGGAGCCCAATGCGGGGCTTGATCCCAGGACCCTGGGATCATGACCTGAGCCGAAGGCAGACGCTTAACGACTGAGCCACCCAGATGCCCTTAAATAAATCTTTTTAAAAATAACTTAACATGCGATTATTCAGGTTTTTCTCTTATGTTCTTCCATACGGTTTCAGTGGCTTCATTTAGCCTCACACAATTCTTGTTAGAATATTTCTAAGTTTGTTTTTTTTTTAAAGATTTTATTTATTTATTCATGAGAGATAGAGAGAGAGAGGCAGAGGCAGAGGGAGAAGCAGGCTCCCCGCAGAGCAGGGAGCCCGATGCGGGACTTGATCCCAGGACCCTGGGATCGTGACCTGAGCTGAAGGCAGACGCTTAACCGACTGAGCCACCCAGGCGTCCCTATTTCTAAGTTTTTATTAGTCATGTGAATAAGGCCCCCCCACGCCTGGGATTATTAACCTTATTCCCTAACGAGCGACACGTTCTACCAGTGTCCCCGTTGATGGTCTTAGGTTACGTCAGACAACGGTGTGACACGAGAGGGACAACGTTCTGCTCTGCCACACACACACACATATCTCTTCTAGGTCTGTGTCCTCAGTGTGTGCCCGGACTCTTCAGAACCATGCTGAGTAACAGCTGATAATGTGCACTTTCTTGTCTCTCTTTTATTTATTTATTTATTTTTTAAAGATTTTATTTATTTATTTGAGAGAGAGAGAATGAGAGACAGAGAGCATGAGAGGGAGGAAGGTCAGAGGGAGAAGCAGACTCCCCGCCGAGCAGGGAGCCCGATGCGGGACCTGATCCCGGGACTCCGGGATCATGACCTGAGCCGAAGGCAGTCGCCCAACCGACTGAGCCACCCAGGCGCCCTTTTCTTGTCTCTCTTATTAATGAGATGATGATTCTAATTTTGGTATGATGACTGCGAGAGCTTTCAGGTTAGGATACTCTATGAAAAATCTCGGTAGACACGGGTATGGGATTGGATCAAACGCTTTTACAGCATCTCTGTGATTACTTCTCCTCTTTTAAGTGGCGTATATACACAGATTCCTCAACGTTGCATTGTTTCTTGTCCTTTAATACATGACTGGACTGTACCTTCTTTGATGTAATAAGTGCACGTGCACAGAATCATGCCTGGCACTGAATTATCCCACCTGGGGAGTGGTGTGGAGAGGGCAGACTTTAATTTTTTTATATTTAAAATGTTTTATAGTGAGCATATATTACTTTGGCAATTGAAAAGAGATTGTAAAGAAGGAAAAACCACAGAGAAGTGTTGGCATTTTAACGTGTCTACTTTCTTGGCTACTCGGCCTTTTCTTTTTAAATGGAGGAAACACCCCAGGGGAGAGTTAGTTTTCTGAAGCCCACTGCAGCGCACGTATGGAAGCATCATCTACCTGCTCGTCACTTCTGTGGTAGTCATTGTCCTCTTCCTGCTTCTCTTCTGCTGCTTCTTTGTTCGAACTGTCATCTGCTTTGGTTTCACCTTTGAGCAAAAACAGAAGATACTGTATTACGAAATCCAGACTGTTAAACCATTATTTTTTTAACTGTACAGCATACTCAAAATGCTATAAAAATTCATTCAAATAAGACAGTTGCACCTTCAAAAGGATACGAAATCGGGGAGAGCTGGTCTACAGAGCACCCGTTAAAACACCTTGTTCCTTCAAGTGCGGGGGTCCCAGGGAGCTGACGTCAGCTGTACCTGGGTCTGCGAGTGTGCGTGGGAGGGCACAGCCAGCAAAGGCTGACGGGGACGGTGAAAGGGGCAGAGAAACCAACCCCCTCCCGCACCCAGTACTATTCAACGCTTAATATAGCAACTACCAACTAGGCATTGCAGGGCTCCTACAGTCTTTACTGCTCCAACGCCACCTTTAAAATGGAGACCCCGTTGTAAGTAAGTGTTTCAACAGGCAAGATCCCTGGCTTCCCAAACAGCCCCCAAATGCCTCCCCCTCCCTCCGCAGGGGTGCAGCACACAGATCCTGCCTTTCCTAGGGGCCAGACAGGACCTCTCCTTTCCTCTAACATTGTTAGAAATACACAGGGCGGTCTAGAAACCTCTCAGGAACCCCTGTGGTTACTAGAAAAACACCGTGGCGTGAAATATTTGAGTAATTTGTTGTAATATGTACAAACTAATTTTACCCTGAAGCAGGGCAGACAAAACTAAAGGGAAGTCTCAGGAGGCCCACCTGCACCGCACCCCACCTCCAGGTACTTTCGGGGCCCCCTCTGTCTCTGGCCCATTTCTCAGCTCTGCCCCAGAAGCGATGGAGAACGTCCGTTCCCAGACTGTACTACAAACTGTGCAGGGGGCACAGGGTGTCCCGAGAAGGGGGCTCACCACAAAGCCCACTCACCGTTCCGATGGGGATCTAGGTGCTGTTTGGCAGAACAGGTCTCCCCCTTGATATCTCCAGGCACTTCCATGCCTAACTTGTGGTAGAATTCCCTCTGTTTTCTCATTTCCGCTATTAAAAATGAATATACACTCTTAACCTTAAGAAGGCAGTGAATCACATGAAAATGCTGTTCACAAATGTTGTGTGAAGAAAACAACCGACGTGGATCGGGGGTTTCGACGGCTGCCGCTACCGAGGCGATGATCTGGACTGCCCCCCTCAGCACCTCAGAGCAGGGCAGGGCCGGTACCAGGCTGGAACCCGCGGCACTGGCAGACGCACAGACCCCTGGCCGCAGCCGCAGGCCGCCCCCCGCCAGGACCGCCATTCTCAGCACGGGGCACAGCAAACGTGACCCACTGACCACAGGCTGCTCAGTGGCGGACTCAGGCTTTCCGGCACCGCCCGCGCCCGGTCACAGCTTAGAAACCAGAGTGCGGCTGATGCACGGTGCCCTTTCACAGCTACCGACGGCCACCCAGGGGTGCCCGGCGGCGGGTGGAGAGTGCCCCCTGGTGTCTGTGGCAAGCCATCACAGCTCGCTGAGTCCCGGGGAGGCAGCCGCGCAGCCCCTCTGCCCCAGGAAGGTTCCCTCCGGAAGACAGGCCAGGCCACCACACTGCCCTCTGGTCTCCTCCTCAGAAGCGAGTCAGTCAGCTTGCTCCCCGCGGCCGGCAGGCCAGTCACTGCTGGCTGCCCGCAGAGTGGGGGCCGGGCCGGGAGACGGCAGGAGCAGCAGGCTGAAACACCGATTCTGACAAGGCAGCTACTGACCGCGACTCCGAAGCGCACACCGGACAACGAAGGTACTGGTCGTTGCTCAGGGCCACGCGGCAGGTAGCAAAGAAAATTTAAACCCAAGTTGCTCAAGCTAAAATCCTACAAATCACACTATGAAAAATACTCATGCGTACCTGACCCCGTAACACCTTGTTGCCCTTTTCCCCTGCACGTTTGTCTTCCCCCGTGCACCCGAGCTCCAGGGCCGGGAATACGCCTTGGTCACACCCTGGACCCACACCGACGCTTCGCAGTGCAATCCCGCAGGAGCGCGCGGATGCAGGGGTAGCAGGCTCAGGCAGAAAGTGGCCGCCCCTCAGAACGGAAGGGACGGCACTGCTAGCCTGCAGACGGATGGGGTGCTGGGACCAGTGCCAAGTGCCAAGCCAGAAGACTGGTCTGGGAAATTTGGGATCCAATAATCATACAAAAGCTGGCTCAGAATAAAGGTGTGAAATGTACTGCTCCCACCAGGTTCTCCAAGGACGACACTGCGGTCCCGCCGGTCGGTGCGAGAGGATGCTCACCGAACGCGGAAATGGGGCAGCTTGAAATACCTTGTTTTAATTCTCAGTAAAAAATTTTCACCTATCAGGAGGAAAAGAAGATTGAAAGTAACGATACTCCATGTCAGGAAGACACCAGCCCACAGATGTTACTTGGGGTGAACTTTCAGCAAGGTAATTTGCTATTTAAAACTATTTAGGGGCGCCTGGGTGTCTCAGTCGTTAAGCGTCTGCCTTCGGCTCAGGTCGTGATCCCGGGGTCCTGGGATCGAGCCCCGCATCGGGCTCCCTGCTCGGCAGGGAGCCTGCTTCTCCCTCCCCCACTCCCCCTGCTGTGTTCCCTCTCTCGCTGTGTCTCTCTCTGTCAAATAAATAAAAATCTTTGGGCCCCTGGGTGGCTCATTCGTTAAGCATCTGCCTTCTGCTCAGGTCATGATCCCAGTGCCCCGCATCGGGCTCCCTGCTCCGCGGGAAGCCTGCGTCTCCCTCTCCCACTCCCCCTGCTCGTGTTCCCTCTCTAGCTGTGTCTCTGTCAAATAAATAAATAAAATCTTTAAAAAAAAAAACACAAAAAAAACACACAAAAAACCCCAACTATTTAAACACTTCCCCACTGGCCCCCAAATTCTGCTGGTGATCTACCCTAAAGCAGTCGCCACACTAGTGCATAAGGAGAGAGGGCTGCACACAGTCGCCGGAGCCTTCTTCACAGTACTGGAGGGCTAGAAACAGCTTAGATACGGGGGCTGGGCCAGCCAGAGGCGGGCCAAGAGAGCCTCAGAACCCTTCTCAACACTGCAGGCAAGATACTACCCACTACTGACAGAGTCAACATATGAGACGACCCTAATTTACTTGCTACCCTGGGATACCGTGCAGCCATTAAACATGATACAGATCAGGGGCGCCTGGGTGGCTCAGTCGGTTAAGGGTCCAACTCTTGATCTCAGCTCAGGTCTTGTGAGTTCAAACCCCACACTGGGCTCCATGCTGGGTGTGGAGCCTACTTAAAAAAAAAAAAAAGATACAGGTCACATATTTTTTAAAGATTTATTTCAGAGAGAGAGAGTGCACGCGTGAGTGCGGGGAGGGGCAGAGAGAGGGAAAGGGAAAGAATCTGAAGCAGACTCCCCACTGAGCGTGGAGCCTGATGCAGGGCTCGATCCCACAACCCCGAGATCACGACCTGAGCCGAAATCAAGAGTCCGACGCACAACCAAATAGGCCCCCAGGTGCCCCAAGGCCATATTTTTGATGTGGAGCAAGCACCACAATATGTCGTCGTGAAAAAGGCAGATTGTGTAGCATGATCTCATTTTTTGTAAAAATTACAAGTTATAATCCTGGTGTAACCAGGATGCTGGGAGAGTCCAGGGGAGTGAGAAACACAGTGCTACACTGGGCATGAGCCAGTGTCCTTCCCTGGCGCTCTCAGCTCCTCCTCAATGACGCAGGCACATATGGGGTCCCACGGCCAATGTCACACTCGGGGGTGAAAGACTGCTCCCCCCCGCCCCGCCTCCGGGATCAGGCACGAGACGAGAACGTCCATGCGCACCACTTAGACCCAACATCCCATTCAGAGCGCCAGCCTCAGGGCTGGCAAGCACCCCATCAGCAAACAGAGCAGACACTGGGGCCGTGTGAGCTAAGCAGCAAAACTGAGATATGACGTAGGTAGGTCTGGGACAGGGGAGAAGGCAAGTGTTTTATGGAAATATAACAGAGTGCATTCTTGCTCTTATTATTTTGAATAAACTGTCATCTGTCAGATGAAGAAAAACAAAAGTTTCACTTTACCTTCACTATTCCTTCTCTGATGCACTTCATTCCTTCATGTGGGTCCAAGTTTCTGACCTATAGCACCTCCTTCTCTCTGAAGAACTTCTTGTATGGTCTTGCAAAGCAGGTCTACTGACAAGTTCCCTCGACCTCTGTCTCGCCGAGAAGGTCTCTACTTCTCCTCCCCTCCTGCGGGACACACAACTCCGGGCCGGTGGTTTCTTCTCTCAACACTAAACACTGCACTCTCCGGTCTCTTTGCTGGCGTGGTTTTGGAGGACAAGCCAGGTGCATTCTTACCTTTGCTCCTCTGTAATAAGGTGTTTTCTCCCTCTGGCTCATTTAGCTTTGATTACTCTGTAGCTTGAAAATGATATGCATAGGTCTTGTGTTCCTGGCGCTGATCCTGCCTGGTGTTCTCTGAGGGTCCTGGGTCCAGGGTCTGGTGTCTGACGTTAGTTTGGGGAGATTCTCAGTCGTTATCGGCTCACGTATTTCTGCTGTTCTTTGTCTCTCTCCTCTGCGTCTCGTGTTCCCGTTACGTGTACCGTACGCCCTTGCGACTGTCCCACGTCCTTGGAGACTCTGATTTTTAGTGCATACCCTCTTGTATTTTCAGACTTGGGAGTTTCTGTTGATAGATCCCCAACCTCAAGGTTCTTTCCCACACAAGTCCTGTTACTAATCAACCTACCTGAGGCTTTCTTCATTTCTGCTACTGTGGTTTTATCTCCAACATTTCTTTCTGCTTCTTTCTTAGGGTTTCCATCCTTCTGCTTACACTACCCACCTGTTCTGGTCCACATTACCCATTAGAGCGCTTAGCATATTTACTGTTTTAAATTCCAGTCCGACGATTCCAACATCCCTGCCATGTCTGTTCTGATGCTTGTTCTGTCTCTTAGCGAGCCTTGTAGTTTTTTTTCTCGTGAGCCAGCTGTGATGTGCCAGGGACAAGGAATTACCGTAACCAGGCCTTTAGTGATGTGGTGAGGGGTGGGGAAGGGGACGGGCTCTGTGCTCCTCTGAATAGGTCTCAGGCTCAGGGAGCTGAGGCCTCCACACTGAACTTCATCAGTGCTCGGTGGGAAGGGGTGGCTGGAGCTGACCGGCTCCCCTTGCTCAGCTAGTTTCCCCGGGGGGCAGGCCTCGTTGGAGGTATTTCAGAATGGCTCCTGAAGTTGCTTCCCCAGCGGGAAGCACTGAGAGACCGTGGCCGAGCTCCTGGGCATGAAGCTCACGATACTGGATCTCCCTGCAGGTTTTTCTCTCTGAATTGTCCAATGGAGCCTCCAGCAATTCCTCAAGCACAGTAGAGGTTTTCGGCCCTGTGCCAGTTCCCAGGGAGGTTTCCGCTCCGGAGTCTCTGCCCTGGGAGCTGGGGCCCCCATACCAGTCTCTCCAATCTTGGGGCAGCGGTTTGCCCTATGTCCACCCCTCTTACAATCTAAGAAAAATGGCTGATTTCTCAGTCTGTTCAGCTTTTTGTTAGGACAGAGTGGCAACTTCCAAGCTCCTTACATGAGGAACCGGAAACCAGAAGTTATGAAATTTCAAAATACGGTAATTATAATTGAGTACAACTTTTTGCACTATAGGCCACTAACAAGAAAAATGGACTCTTTTGGGGGGAACGATACTTAACTGGGGTGAAAAGTTAGTGCTCCTTACCATCAAAACTGGTCACACATGTTCATCTCTACCGAGACTCTACACATTTTCATTTCTGAACATGTCTTTCTACACAGAAACGCTGACATCAGGCCACAAGCACAGGACTTTATGTGGCTCATGCGTCAGCGAGGAGGTGCTCAAGGAACTCTGTGAGCCTCTCCTCCTGCTGCTGGCCCCTGTGACGCCATCACACTGTGGGCTAGTGGTTCCCCACTGAAGAAGGGTGGACTGAAGCCCCACAGCAGCATGGTTAGTGGACTCTGAAAGGTGGACTGCACTCGAGGTCCTGGGCCTGCAGCTGGAGCCCAGAAAACAAGCCTGCTGCAATCTGCATGGGCTTGGCGATCTCCCTCCTCCTTTCACTTCTGAGGGCATGACATCTGCAGGGCCGCGTGACCCCAGCAGGAGTCTCCGTTGTGGAGTCTGCATCGAAGTCGTGCTGACTTCATTACCAAACACTATCAAGTCTTTGGCAAAAGGTAACTTCTGAAGTCATTCAGTGTTCAAGGTGCCTCTTTCCATTCTGAAAATTTCCTCTGCCCTTAGCTCCAAACTGCACACACACACACTTCATCACTACTGAGCCGTTAAGGGCTGTGCGGGAGGGGAAGTCAGGACGCTCAGCCCCACCTCGGACAGGAACTCCGACGCCCGGGCCGGCAACATATGAAAGAGCGGACGGAGCCTACTGCGGACCCCACTGGCTCAGTGACACAGGAAAGATTCACCTCGACAGCGTGCCTGCTGATGAACATGACGTCCTCCAGACATCTTCCATTTTCACAGGCATGGTTCGTTCGTTCAACTGAGCATCCTCCTGATCCACACGCATTCCTACCACCACTGGTTGTAACACGTCTTGGCAGATTCCACTTCAGTTGTACTGAATTAGAAGTTTCTCAACCCCTTGAAGATATTCCCGCCTGCAGTTTTTCCGCGCTGCTCGGAGAGATTTCTTCTTTAGTCACTCCAAGCTCACCAAACGAACAGCTGAGCAGACTGGAGACACCAAAGCCAAGGAAAACCACTCAAAACCGCCTGCCTCGCTTTCTCAGTGACTCCTGATGTTGATTGCAGAAGCTCCCTCCCTGAGAGAAGCTCCTTCTCTGGGTGCATTACCTCCGCTGCTGCGGTCAAGCAAGATTTAATTAACTTACCATCAGTAGACAGCTTTCCTTGTTTGCTAACACATGAGCCAATCAGAAACTCACTTTGACTGCAGCCTCATCTTCATCTTTTATTTCTGTGAAGAAATCCTGCTGTGATGAGATATTCCATTTTAGACTTTCAGTTCTTCCCAAAGGTTGCTTTCCTGTGCATCGGGGGTCCTGTGCGTTCAGTCCGGTGATGAGCGCACTCACGAGGACAGCTCCGAAAAAAAACCATCTACACTTCACTGCGGCTTCGAAGGGCAACATCTGGAGCCCATACTTTCCTTCTTACTTGTTTTGACATGATGCGTATGCACTGACAACAGAGTCTCACCAGGGCACACACAGCTCTCGAACAGCTGCTGGGCTGCAACTGCGTTTCTGAGATCTGCGTGGTGCGGCGGCGAGAGCGCCCCATCCAGGCTGCCGCCTTTCCTGCTCGGTGTTGTGACGTGAAGACAAACGAGACGGGAAAGAGTAAGCACGCTGTATTCCAGCAACACTACTTACGGATGACGGAATTTCAATTACTGTAACTTTCACATCACAAATGTTATTCTTTGACTCTTTCCTAACCATTTAAAAGTATTAAAAAACATTCTTGGCTCATGAGCCCTACAGACAGGCAGCAAGCCAGATCTGGCCTGCAGTTTGCCAACTCCCACTCCAGCCAGTGCGGAGGCAAGAGAAAGAAATAAAAATGCAGACCCCTTGGCCTAGAGATTCTACTTCCAGAATAAAGCCAAATATATCCACCCACACCCACAAAAATTTGCAAAAGCGTGTTCAGCGCATCTCCTCCCCTTCGGCTAAAGCCAAAGATGGGAACGTCCTAAGTTTCGGTCAGGAAGGAGCCCAGGAGCAGACGACCCACGCACCCCGTCAAGACGGGCAGAGCCCGACGTGCTGGGGAGCTCCTCTGCGCCACGCTGGCGGGAGAACCAAGCTGCGGGCCATTCGATAAATTTTATAAAATGTGGCCTCTACAAAGGCAGGTTTTTAAAAAATTATTTAAAAAGGAAACAACAGACAACTGAAAAACGGAGCCTCCACCAGGAAGGCCTCGTCTACAGGGAAGAGAGAAGCGGCTGGCATGCGGACAGCGGCGGGAGCAGACGGCAGCAGGTGCTGCCCCCACCAGGTGAAGCCGGCTTGCCAGAATGGGGCCTCCACCTGAGAAATCAGGTTTGCAACCGTGGGCGCAACCAGCACAACGATGAACTGCAGACAGCCTGTGCCAAAGCTGTTGTGCTGTGAAGGGTTTCCGAGCTGTGATGTTCCTGTGATGAGCCACACGTGGCCAAGAGTCTGAGAAAAGGAGAAGCTGAACGTCTGGTCTGTGAGAAGAGACCCTGGCCCGAAGGGGAAATGGGGCACACCCCCCGCAGAGCAACCTGCCTGGTCAGCAGGATCATCGTCCTCGCACCATGTCCTTCCATTATAACCATGTCACAGGGCATCCCACCCACGGATGGCACCCGGACTCCGTGGGGAGGGGGCAGGAAGTCAACAAGAGGAGCCCAGAACCCACCTGCCCGGAAAGCAGGGCCATTCCAGACTCCCAGGGTGGTGTCGGGGACCACCAATGGGAACACTTGGGCTTCAGAAAGGACAAGGACCCCTGCGCGCTGTGAACACACGCACGCATGTCCATCCACCTGACGTGGCTGGAGGGGCCAGAAAGCCAACTCGGCACGCCGTGCACAGGAGGAGTTCTGCTCCGTGGGCCTCAGGAACCCAGCAGCGGTGCACGGCTCTGCGGATGCGCTCTACCCAGGACACGGGCCGGGCCAGGCCCTGGGAGAGCCAGATTTTACTGCTTCTAATGAATCACAGACGGACGCTGTGCTAGTGCAGGGCGGCGGGGGCGACCGACGGACAGGCTGACTGCACCTGTTCAGATGCAATAACCACCAGAGGTGGGCTTCCCAGGAACAAGAGCCAGAATCCACTCAGGCCTGCAGACGCCACCAGTTCACAGGACCGGGGTGCCCTGAGCAAGTCCAGACTTGGAGACAGGAGAGGCCAGGAGGGGGCCAAACAGTCAGCCCTGGGGCTGACCCAACCTGGATCCGGAATGAAATAAACTGAAACAAACTCGAAAAACGTGGTGTTCTCGAGGCAGTTAGAAATGTTGGCACTGACCGGGTATTTGATACCAAGGGATTACTGTTATTTTCTTAGATCTATAAAGGTGCTGTGGTTACGTGTGTTAAGAAGAACCTTATCTTCTGGGACAGGAAGATGGGCGGGGGCAGTGGATGAAACAGGATTCACTGTGAGCTGGAAAACTGTGGCCTCTGGGTAATAAACACATGGGATTCTGTACGTGGTTCTGCCTGCTTTTGTGTTTAAAATACTCTATAATAATTTTTAAAGGTACTGGCATTTTATTTGGATGTATTCTTTGCCTTAGGACTAAAAAACTTTTGGCTATCAAAAGATGGTTGCCGGGCGCCTGGGTGGCTCAGTTGGTTGGGCGACTGCCTTCGGCTCAGGTCATGATCCTGGAGTCCCGGGATCGAGTCCCGCATCGGGCTCCCTGCTCGGTAGGGAGCCTGCTTCTGCCTCTGACCCTCCCCCCTCTCATGTGCTCTCTCTCTCTCATTCTCTCTCTCTCAAATAAATAAATAAAATCTTTAAAAAAAAAAAAAGATGGTTGTCTCCATCTACATTTTACTCAGGAAACTTAAATTCTTCTTATATAAATGAACTTGTGAATGGTGAAGAAAAGATGAACAACATTATTAAGTTATGTGAAAAGCCAAATGAATATCTTCTGATCTAACATAGTAAGCTGTATTTTAAATTATAACCGTCTTCTGAAACATTACAATGAGAAAACACAGCCCAAAGAAATTCCTAACATATTTTATCTTTGAAAGAAAGTGCACCTAAGTTTTGTCAGCAGGCACTGCCATGTCATCCCACCCCCAGACCCTGAGACCAATGTCCCTCCCCACCGCCCCTATCACCACCCCCACAAAGAGGGACAGCAACAGTCTCTGTGTTCAGAACTGGAGAAAAGTTTTAAAAAGAACGGCCATTTCCACTTTCAGGATATTTATACTACATAGTATTTCTTTTTAATTCTCAATGACATTTGACTTTAAATGCAGTTAACCTTTATCGACACCCTGGCTACTGGTTGCGCGTCTGCGGAGGTATGATGAGGGACGCCGCCCCCACGAGGCTGCATGCTCAGCACGTTCCTCCCGAACGCAGGAGCGGCAAGGCAGAGACAGTGGACGAAGCCGGCCCCACGGTACTCGTGAGTTCAGCACAGTGACAAGACAGGTGGTGCTGTTGCCACAGAGGGGGCCTCCCTCCAGGGCCAGGACCCCACGAGGAAAGTCCCCCAGACGCCGTGCTGCAGACTCTGCGGTCCAAGAGAGACATTCTGACACTCACCTTCCTGAAGGCCTGGAACCAGTTTGTAAACAATGTCCTGCATGGTTCTGTCATGACTGGCAAAGAGAATACAACAGATAAGGTTAGCCAAAAACCCGGGCACATTTTCCAATAACAAGAGCAAACTCCACAATCACAAATTTGAAATCTTGGTTGAATTCTGCTTCTAGTTTGCACTTAAAAAAATGTGCTAGCAAACGTTATATATGACCTGAATTGATGCACCATTTAATTCAGGTTCTGGAAGCTTAAGAACATTTCAAGTAGTGCTGGCACAAAGGTCCTCTAGGTGATGAGTGCCCTCTGCCTGCTGAACGCAGTGCCAACCAGAGCCGTGGCCTGCAGTGGCCTGTCCAACCGCACACCGCCTCCCCCCTCTTCCACGGGTGCTTCCCCGGGTCTCCACCGGACAGGAAGCTTTTCTTTAACGTTCTGAAAAAGGTAGAGGACAGGCCCTAAGATCAGGCCCTCTGGTGGTCTTTATGATCCACCTACGAAGGTTTTCTGGGAATGTTACATAAGCACAGTATTTGAAATATAATTCTTATTCCAGTTTGCTATTTTTAAACATAATTTTTTTTTAAAGATCTTATTTATTTATTTGAGAGAGAGAGAATGAGAGAGACCAAGCACATGAGAGGGGGGAGGGTCAGAGGGAGAAGCAGACTCCCCGCCGAGCAGGGAGCCCGATGTGGGACTCGATCCAGGGACTCCAGGATCATGACCTGAGCCGAAGGCAGTCGCTCAACCAACTGAGCCACCCAGGCGCCCTTAAACATAAATTATTAATACATTTAAGTAACTGTTTTCAAATCAGTGTTAATTTTCAAACATCATCCATTAAAATGAAAACCTTAAGAAACCCAGATAGGTAACTTGTAACTAACTGACAAACAATTATGCTCCACAAAACCCACCGACATTTAGCCGAGAGAGCTAGACCAGGACTGGGCACACAGCAGCCACGCACCAGGCTCACCGTTCTGCCACAAACGGTGGGGGACCAGGTCCTGCAGAGACCACCGCTCACCATTTCCAAGAACTCTGAAGTTCTACCAGACACTGGGCTGACGACTCAGCCTGTGGTGTGGCTGCCAGAAGCAGGGTTCCTCAACCCTTCTGACCACGATCCACACCAAGAAATACATCTCACGTCCCCACGCTCACATTACGTGTGTGTATGGGTGACGGACACACGCACATGGATAAGCATCACGAATCCCAGGTGGCCTGCAGCACGTGCGACTCCCATCTCCGACACTACCCCCACTGGCTTCGTGGAAAGCTCACCTGGTCCACAAGGAAAGCAGGCTGGACCGAATCCTGCTGCAGAGCTCGACCCTGGGTCCTCTGCATGAACATGCTAAGCCCTGCCTGCCTGGCCAAGGATCCACAGGGCAGAGTGGAGGGCTCAGGGGACCCTCCCTGGGGAGGGTTCCAGGAGGCAGGACAGAACAGCACAGGGCATTTTTCCTGGTGTCGGCACATCCAGGCTCTTGGTGTGGCAGCCCCTTGGTACAGAGGCCACTTCTTTGCAGTATTCATGCTTACACTGCATGCTGTAGGCTACACACCCTCTCTTAGCTCTTCTCTTGACCTGGCCCACATGGCTAAAGTCCTTGTCTTGAAGATGAAGCCTGGAAGGACAGAGCTGCCTCACAGATCCACCGGACCTTAGGAGCTCAGGCTCAGCACCCGCCTGCAGCCAGCACCTCACGGCATCGTCCTACCTCCTAAGGCCCGAGCCACTGCCTGGGGCCCTGCATGGGGCCACCAGGCCCTGCTGCCCCATCCTAAGTGCCCTCTCCCCACTCTGCCCCAGCCCAGAGCTGAAGGCCCTTCCTTTGGGGCAACCGCGCGATCAGGGTGTAGCAGAATCAGAGCAGAAGGCTGGGCCAAGTGTGGAGGGCGAAGCTGTGTCAGGAACAAGGCTCCGAGCCAACTGCAGAGCCGGCAGCAAGACGGGTAAAACACTGTAGTTCTAGGCAGAGCACAGAGGGCAAGGAGTAAGGGGCAGGATTAGCAGGAAAGAGCCACCCTGGAGCCCAGAGCCCCCAGCAGGCCTCAGGGCCGAGCACCTTCCCCTAGCTCTGCACCTTGACCTCCCTGGCCTCCCTCCCTGGTCACCACATGGTCACTGCACAGAGAAGAGGCAGGGCCTGGCCAATGCACCTGGCTAGCTCCGCTCTACTGGCCCCCTCTGTGTGTTAGCAGGTTAGGCTATGTTTAGAACACCAGGGTCCCGGACTGCTAAAGAGTTTCAGCTCTCCAGAAAGCCCTGCCTAATGCAGAGCGCAGGAGAGGGGCCGTGGCACTCTGAGAGGGAGGCCAGAGTCTCCACAGCTTCCCACCGGCATGAAGCCCCACTACCTCCTGCCTTTTATAGTTCACATCAGGAAAGCCCCCCTGCTCTACAAAACTACACCCCCAAGACAGGAAACACGTGAATACACACTGCCAACAATTAGAGCCCAGAATATATATAAAGCGTTTCTTAAAATCAGAACAAAACAAAGAACCCAATAGAAAATGACATGAGATGTGAACAGACACCTCCCAGAAGTCCAAATGGCCACGTAACATTTGGGAAGAGGCCGGGGCTCACTGATAACCAGGGCAAGAGCACAAGATACCCTACAGAGCCACCACGTGGCAAGAATGCAGTCCACGGGCACCCACAGGACACACTGGTAAGGTCGTGCACTGCACAACAGCCCAGGAGAGCACGGCAAGGCCCAGAGCAGCACTGAGTGCCCGCCACGGACACCCCAATGTCCCCCGGCCACAGAACCCCACACTAACAGGCCGGGTCAAGGGCAAGGCACACAAACACACTGTTGGTCCCACTTGTAGTGAGCTGGACAAAGGGGACTAAGCTCTGTTGTCTGGGGACGGTGGGCTGTTGGGCAGGGGCTTCTGGGCCTGGCGGTATCCACCTCCTGATCTGGGAGTGGTTTCTCGCTGCGCGACATGTTTTTAAACTCTTCTGTGCCCACTAGATACTTCACACCCTTAGGAGTGGTTCAGAACAGATTTTCAGACCTACCTCTGCTGCTCCCACGTGGTGTGGGGAGTGCTTCGCTTCCTTTAGAACAGCCCCCCAAGTCTGGAAGCCATTTAAAACTCTGCATAAAAGCCACAAGCCGACCCCCTGACGCCAGCAGGGCCACCAGCTGCAAGGAACAAGATGCAGGCCACACGCAAGGGGCCTAGGACCACTCGTTCCACAACAGAAAGGTGGACCCAGGGCTGCCACCCGCTTCAGAGTAAATGTCGGCCCGTTTAGTGTAAAACCAGTGAAATCCACATTGGTCCTGAGGTTCCTCAAATTATTCAATTTGAGCAAATACTCCTGAAAACTTGTGGGAACGGCCCCAGTGCTCACTGGTCTGACTTGGCCGGCAGGGAGGCCAGGTGCGCAGAGCAGGGCGGCTCCCTGACATGGAACGATGCCGGAAGCTGTGACCGGGGAGCCTGGAGGCACTTACCCAATGTACTGTAGCGGGTGACTCTGGTGGATCACAATCCTACACGTGGGGCAGGTGTTATTCTCTTCCAAATACTTGACCAGGCAACTCCGACAGACTGTTTGCAAAAGCACATGCATGTCAGAAAGTGAAACCAGAATGCAGATCCCGACACGTCCTCGGGCTCGGCACGCACTCCAGCCACAGTGCAGACCACCTCGCACGTGGCTGCTTCGATGGGACACCTGCCTCTCAGGTCTCACCAACAACGGAGAAGTCTCAAGTGCTCAATCAGGCGCCTCACTCAGCAGGTCTGGGGTGTAGGGATAAGAGGGACGAGGCACCTAAGTGAGGACGAGGTGCCCAGAGGTCAAGAGCTGAGACATCACTAGAATGCACTTTAGGGTCTCGTCCGAATATTCTCACCACAGGGGCTAACAGTTACAATTTTCATCTTTGTCTAAAAAAATCACAAGATTTTCTGTGTATAACAGAATTCGAGAAAATTCAATGAGAATAACAATTTAAAGCTATGATTACCTTTAAAATAAAAGTTCCATCAAAATTGGCAAATGTTTTATTTTCTAAGGCAGAAAATACAGGATCAAAAGTCATCTGCATTCCAGGCATTGGTTTTATTGCAAAGACCCTGTCCCCACAGAGGGCTCCTGCCTGGCATCCTCAGCCACCGTCCCAGCGGCTAGCTTCAGGTGAATAGCACCTGCTAACTGTTCACTCAAGACGGGGCTTAAATCACCCCCAGTTCAGCACAAGCTGGGTCTTCTAAACATCAAAACACAGGCTCATTAGCCTTGAGGAGCCAAACCACATTTCCCTGTTTAAAAAGTTTAAGGAATTCATTTGGAAATTTTAAAAATAAGCATTTCTGTCCACTAGAAATGAGTATTTTGTCATAACGCAGTTATACTGGTTTTGCGGTTACACAGAAATAACTAAATTTTCCTGTATTTAGCTTTCTTAAATGATATCGCTACTCAAATTACCCATAATATTTTTAATTTGAAATAATTTCTCTGATTTAAGATCTTCTTTAGTCCTGCTTCTGTGTCTTGCTTTGTGCTTGAGCTAAAAGCTTTTGGTGAGAAAAAAAGAAGAAAGAAATAAAAGAAAAGAGAAAGCCCAAGGATCAAGAAACCACAAGGCTCGAAGCTGTCATAGGCCTCGTTCGTTCTAGGACATTCCGCCATGCACATATGCAGACACTCAGTCACATTTCTCCCACGTCTGTCAAACACCATGTTCTAGAATATTCCCCACATACACGTGTGCAGACACTCGGTCACCGTGGTCGCGTCGATGAGATATCCGCTGCATAGGCGGCAGGTGATGTGGGCGTTTATGTCCCAGAGTTTAATCTTTCTGGTCAACATCTTTGGCTTCTGCAAGAAAAAAACACTTATTAAGTAATATCTGAAATACTCCCATGTGTTTTTTTTTTTTTTTTTTTAGATTTATTTATTTTTAGAGAGAGAGGGAGAGAGATAGCATGAACAGGGGGAGGGGCAGAGGGAGAGCGAAAATCTTCGGCAGACTCCCTGCTGAGCAAGGAGCCCGATGCAGGGCCCCATCTCACGACCCCGAGATCACGACCTGAGCCGAAACCAGGAGTCGGACGCCCAACCGACTGCACACCCAGGCACCCCTGAAATACTCCCAGGTGTTCCATCAAAGGTCCAGGCTCAACATAAATCAAGCTACAGCACATCCCCCTAGAAGGGCTCAGCTACCCACCAGGGCCAGGTCCAAGCTGCAAAGACTCTGGGGCCCGACTTCCATCTGTAGAATGGAGTGCTGTAGGTCTTCTCACAGAGGACCGTGACTGTCCTGCCAGACACCCGACGGGCGGCACCCCGCAAATGCACCACCGCTTCTCCTTAACCACCGATGACACTGCCCCCTCCAGGCCCCCCCGAACCTCTCCTGCTCAGGACTGAGCTGAAGCCAGCTGGTGAGGTGGGTGGGTGAGTCAGGAGATCCGCGCAGCTGCAGGAAGAGAGGCTGCGGGAGCAGGAGGCTGTGGGGTCACTGCCAGAGCTTCTGGCTCCTCTGTAAAGCTAGGGGACAAATGACCCTGAGGGACGCTAGTGGGGGCAACACTGGCCCAACCTGAATGAGAAGCAAGGTCCCCCAGTGAGGCCTCATTGTGGACACATGGGAACAGCTGATAAGCACATGCAAAGGTGCTCAACCCACAGATACATCCACACACGCAGGTCACACCACATGTCATTCCTCAGACATTCCAGTCGACGTTCGGTCCTGACAAGTCCCAGGGAAGCGGACAGTCAGAAGGGCTGCCAGCCAGATGTACCCGAACAGAATAGGAGCTGTTCCATTTCTAGAGATTTATCTTAATAACGGGACAAGTTCAAAAGATGTTTGCTGCAATTGTTTAAAATGGCAAATCATAGAAAACTGCCACCGAGGACTGGCTAAGAAAGCAATTTCATTTAGCCAGCAGGGGCGCCAGACACTCCTCCCCTTCTCTCTGTCCTGTCCAGGGGAAATCCAACCGGCCCCCCAGGACCTCACCCTTCCTGGGCCTCAGCAGCCTCTTGGCCCAGCACAGCCCAGTCCCACAACTGGGGGTTCCCAAGGCCACCTGCCGATCCCCCTCACTGTCCCACAGGACATCAGCATCGCACACGCCCCAGCATCATCAAAGTCCAGACACTGGTGAGCTGAAGTGCTGACATGTTGTTTCTGTCTCGGGGGCGGGGGGTGCGCCCCTGCCTGCTCAGCCCCACTGTACCAGTCTCTCCCTAGACCACAGGCTCTATGAAGGTTGGCTTTGTTACTGCATCTCCTGAGCTGTGCCAGGAGTTACAGCAGCTCTTGGGGACGTCCACATCCTACCCCAAAACCTGTACGTCGCCTCACACGGGAGACGGTCCCAGATGACCCTGTGGGCCCCATGTCATCCCAGGGCCCTTAAGAGGGGAGTTGGGAGGGTCAGAGTCAGAGAGACCGGGAGACATGACGCTGCGGGCTTGAGGGTGGGCCACGGGCCAAGGGTGCAGGTGCCCCAGAAGCTGGAAAAGACAAAGAAGCCAGAAGGAGCCAGCCCTGGGGGCACCTTGACTTCTGACTTCGGCACTGTCAGGTGACACATCTGTTCCAGCAGTAGTAGGAAACCAACCCGAAATGCTGCTCCAGTGAATGCCCACAGACTGAATGTCCCCAAAGTGAGCATTCCTAACAGAAGTCTGCACAAAGACCAGAAACAGGCCTGTCAGAGTTGAGGGCGTCACTGAGGGCGGCTGGTTCCCAGGCCACTGGGCAAGGGCAGTCGCTGCTTAATGCTGTTTCAGAGAAAGGGGAAAGAAAGCAAACCACCCGGGGGACTTGCGGCCCACGTGCCTCCGCGTGAGGTCCGAGGGCAGTGCTGGCCATCCCTGCCAGGGCGCAGTGCAGCCTGGGGGGCGCCTGGCCGGGGCTCTGTGGCTGGTGAGGGGGCAGAGGGCCTGGAGGGAGCAGCAGTCTGGAGGTGAACTGTCAGAATCCACAAACTATCAGAGTGAGTGAAGGCATCTGGCTGGCGTCGCTCACGGAATGGCGTGTGTCTACACTGCAGTCCCGCTCCAGGATTTGCGTGGAACGCGAGACAAAAGCAGACCCTTCTGCTGTTCACTCACATCTCTCCTCCCTTCAGCGTCAGGCTAGAGCAGACACGTGGTCCCCACTGGACAGGGCCCTTCCCACCTCCCTTGCAGCCAGGTGTGTCTGTGGGTCGGGGTTCGCTGACGTTACTAGGAATCCAGTAAAGATGAAATGGGGCTTGGTGGACCATTCTCAGAGGGTTCCTGTGGGCCAACCAGCCTCATCTGGTGAAGACGGGCCCGCTCTGAGCCGACCTGGGTTTGCATCCTGTTCTTGGCACACGTGTGTGCACTGAGGCCCAGCCAGGTGGCTGGCCTTCGGGGAGCCCAGCAGCACCGAGTGCAGCAGGACATAAAAGGACAGATCAGCTGCGCGGATCTCCTGACTCTCCTGACTCCTGGAGTCATCCCAAGCAAAGCAGAGCAGGAAACGGGCCTGCCGACATGGAAACCTCACGTGAGGCCCACGCTGGCCCCTACTGAGTACTGTTCTCACGTCCTCCACCTTCTGTTGAGCAGCCGTTTATATGCCAGCCACTCAGGACATGAGGACATGCAAATATTCCTACCACACAGTAATGTGCTCAGCAACAAAATATCTTCCCAACCACCAAGTAACTGAGCTGCCAAACTACAGACAAAACAGGGCTCGCTTTGGCCACACATATACTAAAATTAGAATGATACAGAGAAGATTAGCTCAAGGATGACACACAAATTTGTGAAGCCAAAACAAAGTCCCAGGTCACGCTGGCACAGATGGGGCCTTTGGCCCCTTTGAGGGACAGGGTCAGTGTGAGCTCATGCTTAGTGAGCAGGTGGGTAAATAGATGAAGACGTGTGTGTGCATGTGAGTGTGGACTCCCACACCTACCTCCCAGCTCTGTCCGTTGGGGGGGCCTGGGAGTAATGGCTCCTTGGCGGCCTAGGTCCCAGTGTGGACACACCACTGTCCGCCACGAGGCTCATGGGTGCAGGAACACGGCTGCCGTAAGGCGGGGCTGGGAATGCAACAGAACTGGGGCAGAGCATCTGGCCCCAGCTCCAAGGGCTCCACTGGCCACACTGGCGACAACTGGAGCTTCAAGATACGGGGTGACTATCATCAGGAGAACAGAATGAATCAGACTACAATCAACAGAATAACACAGAAGTTCACGCGTCCACACTGAGACAGACAAGTAAGGAAGGGACGTGAAGGTGAGCTGATCCCATGGAAGCAGGAGTCACCAGCCACCACGGACCGAGGGGACAGTTTCCTCAGGAACCACCAATGGAGGCCTTGCTGAGAGAAGACTCAAAAAGTCTCCAAGACCCCCCGACCAAACACTTCTTGGGCACAGAGTGAGAGTGGGGCGTCCCGGTAGAAACACTGTGTAGACGTCACTTGCTGAGTGAGGGGACACCCAGGTGGGCACCAGGCGGCTGACAGACCGCTGTGCCTCCTGGAATCATGCCACGAGGGACACAGCACCCCTCTCGAGACCCCTGTTAATAGAGCACACACGAGTCTCACCCACAGGAAACCCCAAAGGAGGCAACCCCAAGGGAGGCAGGTCGCAAGAGACAAGGGAGGACGGAGGGGGCAGGCCGCCCGAGCACAGCGCCCGGCTGAGGGGATGGCCCCGACAGCCTGGAAAGGGACCCTCTACCTGCTGACCCCCCACGTCAGGAGACGAGAGTGGCCCCAAGGCCAGCCACCCTCCCGTACTCAGGCCTATGAGGAGCTGCACTCAGGAGGGGAAATGTCCACTGTCACCATCATGCAGACATCCCGCCCCTGGGCCTCCCACGCCTGGTGGCCCCTGTGCAGCCCTGGACACTGGACAGCAGTGGGCATGAGCCAGGGGAGGAGAGTGTACCCTCCGCACGCTGCACCTACCAGCAGAGCCCCGGATGCCTCGCCCGGTGCGTCTTAGAGCCTCTCGCAGGGGCTGGGAGGCAGACCCCACGGACGTCAGGAGAGGTCAGCAGTGCGCGGGAACGGTGGGCTTTTCACAGCTGTCCATCCCTCCCCACGCGACAACACAGGCCGCTGAAGGGCCGGCCTGGGGGCCGGGCGAGACTGCCTCACCTCTTCTAGATGTCTTCGGTCCCGTCCTCCTGCCTGTGCATTGGGCGCTCAGGCTGCGGCTCTGATGCGGTCAGTCCTCGCCTGCGGCTTCACTCTGCCCTGCGGGTCTTCACGTCTGCGCCTCCCTGCTGTCCCTTGATCTCTGCCCATTTTCTGGCACAGAAACAGCCCCCGTTATTTCCTGTCAGCTCATTCATGGAGGATGCACACGGTCCCGTAATGAAGCTGTCTAGAGTTCTTAGGTGAGTCCCACGTAGTAAACAATACAACACGGTCAACCGCAGCTGTTAGTTAAGAGGAAATCTGGAGACGTGGGAGTGGCTGTACCCTAATCTCCCCTAGAGCTGTCAGATATTACGTTCTAAAGGAGTTGCAAGGAAATGACTTCTGTGGCGACAGTCTACTCAGTAAAATCCAGGGTACATCTAGGCAATTCACATGCACTGAAAGAAGAGAAAAATCAAAGTTCAAACTGCATTTACCTGTACATGGCAGATGGCAGCCCGGAACGCTCTGCTACATTGTGAGGCCTGTGGAGACACACAACACAGGGGCATCACCCACACATGCGGTCCACACGGAGCCCATTGTCCCCTGCCAGCAGCCTTGGCTTTGCCCATGTACTTGTTTAAAACAACCAAGAGGAAAACAGGAATTACTGACACTAATGAAGGGGCGGCTGGGGGGCTCAGTCGTTGAGCGTCTGCCTTCGGCTCAGGTCATGATCCCAGGGTCCTGGGATCGAGCCCCGCGTCGGGCTCCCTGCTCCGCGGGAAGCCTGCTTCTCCCTCTCCCTCTGCTCCCCCTGCTTGTGTTCCCGCTCTCATTGTGTCTCTCTATGTGAAATAAATAAATGAAATGTTTACAAAAATAAAATAAGGGGCATCTGGGTGGCTCAGTCGTTAAGCATCTGCCTTCGGCTCAGGTCATGATCCCAGAGTTCTGGGATCGAGCCCCACATCGGGCTCCCTGCTCCGCGGGAAGCCTGCTTCTCCCTCTCCCGCTCCCCCTGCTTGTGTTCCCTCTCTCGCTATGTCTCTCTCTGTCAAGTAAATAAATTTAAAAAATCAAAAAAAAAAAAAATGACATTAGTGAAGAACCAGAACCGACCGCAGAGACGTGGACAGATCTCAGTGGCAGTCCTGTAGCCTCCGCACCCCACACCTGCCCGCAAGCGCCGGTGTCACCAAGGCCCAAGGGCTGCTGGGCTGGGAGGCCCTATGGGAGGTGTGGGGGCAGGGGGCTCCATCACAGCTCCAGAGGAGGGGGCAAATCTCAGGGGTGACCTGATGGGAGGCTGGGACCTCGGGGAGGGACAGGGAATAGTAGTATTTAATTGCTGTGATTTCTGTGTTTTTTGCACCCTGACATCCCTCCTCACATCCTGTAAGGCGAGCACGCAGGCTCCAAGCTGGGTTCCAGGCCACGGCAGGGGTCACGGAGTTCTAGGGGGAGACGGGCACAGACACCAACCAGCACAGGGCCAGGGTCAGGGCTCAGGGAGGGCCGTGTGAGGGGCCTCACTGAATGGAGCCTGGTGAACACAGCTGAGGGGAGAGGGTGATTGTGAGGCCTCCGGGAAGACCTGGGCTCCCACTGTGGGTGACAGGGAGCCAACAGGTTGCTCTCAAAGCTCCAGGGGGGTGGGGGTGGTCTGCACCCCAGCCTGCAGGCCCCAGGGTGGTCAGGCTGGTGGCCACGGTGCCATGTGGGGGCTCAGTCTGAGACGCCTCCAGAACCTCCATGGACCCTTCCCTCCTGCCTGCCCACACTCTCCCTCCTCTGTGGGAAGCCCTGAGGTCTCCCCACCCTCCAGGTGGGAAGGTGGACAGGCAGGGCTGGAGGTGCTGTCCCTGCTCCCTTCTGAAGCAGGGACACACCTGAGAAAGCACCAGGGCCCTGGTGGCTTAACGATAGTGGTTAAGTACAACCTTGGAACGGTGGGTCTAGTAATACTTAAATCATGTTCACGTTATATCCAGTTTATGTCATTTTTACTCTTCAAGCTTTCCACACTGCATTATTAATTAATCTTTGAAGCTCAATTAACTTCTACAGAAAAAGGAAGACAGGGAGGGAGGGAAGGAGGAAGAGAGTTACTTGGCTGGTTAGGAAGACTACCAGGTGTGTCTAAGGCACTGACAAGAGAAGCAAGACGAGGAAAGACGGGACCTAGTTCTAGACCAGGGCTGGCCAGAATGCTCTGGGATGATGGGACTCCAAGAATCCCCTCTGCCCAATAGGGTGGCTGGTGAGCCCTTGAGATCTGGCTACTGTGAATGAGGAACTTTTCAGTTATTTAAGTTGTATTGTGGCTAGAACACTAGACCTCAGTGAACAAAAAAGACACAAAAAAAGGCTCCCTAGAGCCTACATCCTACTGGAGAAAGACAGACAATAAATAATAAATGCTACACATGGGTAAATTACTTAGTATGTTAAAAGGTGATAAATGCTATCAATAGGAGCAGAGAAGGGGAGTCAGGGCACTGGTGGGGGGGAAGGGGGTCAATGAGTCTCTCTTTGAGAAAGTTACATTCGAGCAATAATAGAACTATGCTATTGGTATGAATTATGAAGAACTTTATGCTGACAAAGTTGAAAATTTATATGAAATTGATAAATTCCGCGCTGTGAATTGTACAAGACTGTTGAATCTCAGATCTGTACCTCTGAAACAAATAATGCAATATATGTTAAGAAAAAAAAAAGAAGAAGAAGAAGGCAGCGGGAGGGGAAGAATGAAGGGGGGGAAATTGGAGGGGTAGACGAACCATAAGAGACGATGGACTCTGGAAAACAAACAGGGTTCTAGAGTGGAGGGGGGTGGGAGGATGGGTTAGCCTGGTGGTGGGTATTGAGGAGGGCACATTCTGCATGGAGCACTGGGTGTTAGGCACAACAATGAATCATGGAACACCACATCTAAAACTAATGATGTAATGTATGGGGATTAACATAACAATAAAAAAATTTTTTAAAAAATTGATAAATTCCCAGAAAAATAACTCACCACAATTGAGGCAAGCAGAAAAAACCCAGAAGTTCTGTAACTATTAAGGAAGTGGACTCAGTCGTCAGGAACACCCCAGGCCTACCATCTCAAGGGCGGTTCTACCAAGTGTTCAAGGAACCCAAACAAACCTCCTCAAACAAATCCACTCAGACAATCACAAAGACAGTATTTTCCAACTCATTTTATGGAGGTAACATGCACACACATCAGATCAGAACTGAAGGAAAATCACAGACTGAACTCACTGGTGGCCATCGGTGTTAAAATTGCAAGCACACGGAGTCACCTGACCCAGGAGTGTCTGAGCAGGAGGGTCATGCTTGACAAACTAGCTTTATCCTTACTATGCAAGGGGGCTTACTATGAGGGAAAAAAGTAATTTGACAAAAGACAAAAGGAGAAAAATGAGAAGATCTTCCCAAAGATGCACAGAAATCATTTGATAAAATTCATTATCCACTCATTATCCATTTAAAAAACTCTTAGCAAATTTAGAAGCTAATAAAAGTTCTCTGTTTAAAAGAAACACAGGGGCGCCTGGGTGGCTCCGTCAGTTAAGTGTCTGACTCTTGATATCGGCTCAGGTCATGATCTCAGTGTCGTGAGATCGAGCCCCGTGCCGGGCTCCACGCTGGGCATGGAGCCTGCTTAAGATTCTCTCTCCCTCTGCCCTTCCCCCACCCTAAAAATAAATAAATAAATAAGACACAAACACAAATATGCACTCAAAGGTTTATGCCTGAATGTTCAAGGCAGCTTTCTTCATAATAGTCCCACATAATAGTCCCACAATGGAAAGAGCCACAGTGTCCGTCAACGGGTGGTGGGGAACAGAAAGTGGTCCATCCACTCAGCGGGTACTGCTCAGCAACCAAAATGAACAAAGGACAGAACTCTGTGCTGCAGGAAAGAAGCCAGACACAAGGACCTCGCAGTGCATGTCCCACCGGACACACAGTTCTAGAAAAGGCAGATCTGGGTGCCTGTGGGCCGGCCAGTGGCAGGGACTGGTGGCCGGAAGTCTGAGGAGATGGCAGGGTTCTGGGTCAGGACTGGGGTGTGGGACAGATGCACCAAAAGACACCAACCACACCAGAAAGCTGCGGTGAGCTTTAGCGTGGGTAGACTGTACCTCTGTTAAAAGTGCATTTTAAAATTTAAAAAAACTACAACAAACATCATTCCTGGTGGTGAAATTGGAAAAACAAAACAAAAACAAACTCCCATTTTATACCAGGCGTCTCCCCCACCCTCATCCCCAAATAATCAATTCCAGGTGGATGAAGACCAAATGTGAAAATACAATTTTAAACCTTTGGAAGATACTAGGGAGAACATCTTCCTGACCTCAGGTGAGGAAAAGATAACAAAGCAGAATCAAAAAGCACTAACCACAAAGGGAATGACTAATAAAATCAACTTCGTTAAAAATAAGTGCATCAGATAATCAAAGGACCCAAGAGTGGAAACAGCCACAGTGGCAGAGAACACCCCACACCTGAGACTACAGTCCAGCCAAGGCTCCACAAGGCTGCTCCGTAAACTAAGCTTGAATGTCAGTCCCTGCTTGGGATGGAGGAGTTTCACTTCACAAAAGAGAAAATCCAAATAAGCATATTTTTAAACATTCAGCTTCATAACCAGAAATGCAAGCTAAAATCCCCACGAGGGTCTGCTACAGGTCCACCACGCTGGTGAACACCTTCTCCCTTGCGTCTGCCAGCCCCCAACTCCGCGAGACTGCTCTCAAGACCCCAGTGACAAGGACATTACCAAGATAACCCACCTCCCAGACCCCTGGCACCCTCCACATCTGACTCCCGAATCCCTTCCACGTGGCTCCCTGCCGTGGCTCTGGCCCTGGTTCTGTCTCACGCAGGCTGGTTCTATCACGCGCTCCGCGCAGGTGCCGAGCCTTCCAGAAGGGCATGGGTGGCGTGTCTCTCCACCACAACTTTCAGGCCAGCCCAGGCCCACAGGCAGTCATCCTGGGTGAAGAGGCCCAGCCTCCCCGTCCACTCACCGTGGGCCACCCCTCCAGCTGGCCTCCACCGCCAACAGCTGTTCACCGGTGCCTCTACCCGGGCCCCTCCGCGGCACACCGCACACCGCACCGTCTGGGTCACGCCCCCCCCAACTCCTGCGAGTGCCCTTCAGCGGCTGCTTCCCCACCCCTCCATCACCGCGTTGCACCTCCATCACCGTGACTGTCCTTTAGGTAAATACACCGGGTTTGTTTTGCAGGGTGGAAGTAATATGCACCTTTATTCAACATGATTTGGAAAGTAAAGAATAACACTAAGGAAAACACCCTACAATCCTAGGCACCCCGAACTAACTGCTGTGCTTAACGCAATGGTGGGTTTCCCTCTGTGGGCATATCCTCAAATACTTTGAACAAACACATATATCCTAATTTTTACTAGAAAGCCATCCTCAGACTACATATGATGCAATGCAATAGGGCTTTTATAAGGCATAAACTACGCCGGTGTCTTCGCACATCAGGCTCCC